AGAGAAAGAGGGAGAAAAAGGGTCCAGGGCATACATGATACATGTAGACTATTTGGTAAGTCGTACATTGCCGAACTCGGGAATAGACGCATTGACCTGAATCGAGCGGCGAAGAGATGACACGGTGGATGCATAGGAACTTGATGGACATACGAGTAAGAGAGACTCAGTATTAGCGGGATTGTTCGGATGAAAGGTTGTAGGTCGGTTAGATGTTGATTGATATCAAGCAAGGACGAGTTCTTAGAGGCTGACGGCCGTAGTTGCCTACTCTCAAGGCTCCCCCTTTTCCAGATATAGTACATGTACTACCACGTTGTCAAACTATTGTAATCTCTCGATAGAAGGCGCGAACCGAACCCCTGAGTTCGCGATGGAGGCAAATTACTCGTACGCGCACGGGCATGGCCACGAGCATAACAAATGATTATGATGGTCCAAAAGGGAAGGGATAAAAGACATTCATATTTGCTTTTGTGTTATGGGGTGTAGAGGGAGGAACAAGAGCACCGGATGGATTCACACGGCTGATATTTCGAGGTGTTCCGTTCCACAGGGTTGGGACGATGTGGCTGGTCCAACACAAGTAACGGTATAGAAAGCCAAGTACGAGCAATGTTCCTAGTGTATCCCTATAGAGTATTATAAAACAGGATATGGATATTCTTAGACTCTCTGGACTATTTATTATTATTATTATTTTACTTTGTGCCTGATCCTGTCTTGGAGGGCCTTGGTTACGGAGGAGTATTAATAATAGTAGCTGGTTGTCAAGGTTGTGTAGGTATTACAGTAATTATTACTCTGGACTTGGTATGACTCGTTCCCAAAGCAGCGGAATGACCGGTAGCTAGAGCAGGCCATCCGATGGATAGGCTGAAAATCGAATAGGAATAGACGGAGGGGGGGAAGGGAAAGGAGAAACAAGGGTGACACGGACACACAAAAAACATTGTCGACGGTCATTGCGTTGTACGTTATTTGAATCTCGAAGGATTTCGCACTACTACTCGTACAAGTATTGTACATGAATGCGTATAATAAGCATTCGTGCCCTGGCTATCCGTAAGAGTACAAGTGCAATGGACTAACAAGCTGTTACGTCGTAGTACTCACAGTGTGTTACTATTACTCCGTAGTAATGTAGATGTTACGGGAGTGCCACGGAAGGCTATGCAAGTACTTTAGGCGCAAACAAGGCTCGTACAAATGAGAATCTGGTGAAATTACAGAAGAGAAAAGGAAAGAAAAGAAAAGAAAAGAAAAAGGAAATTAAACGGGAGGCCCCAAAATACAGTAGCGATGTGATATACAGACTGCACGATACACACTGTCCAAATGGCACGCGACCACCTACATTGGCACCCAACCAGTGTGGCTTGCAGCTTCGTCTATACAGTGCGCGGCAAACGGGACGGAACGCGGGCGGGAGCGATTGGCTGTACATCCGTTGATTAATCCGTGCACTAGACTAATGATACAATAATACAGGATACAGCCAAGCATGAATATTCACTACACGTATGCAACTAAACCACGTATTACTACCAAGGTCTCATTTCCCTTTCGTCAAGTCATGTCTGTTCTCGTGGCAGTCATTATGAAGTAGTTGTAAAACCTCGATCATAAATAAAGTGGGTCGCTTGCGACGTGAGAATGCGCTACCAACTCGCCCGACTGCTGTCTTTTTTTCTTTTTCTTTTTCTCTTCCTGGCCCCTCTCTTTCTGACCGCGAGACCCGATGATGGCAGATAGGTCTGCGCCACTGGTTGCCTAGAGCACCCGGGAGCTTTCCCCGCGATGGGATGGAGCTATCAACTGGAGCTTGCTGGCACTTAGTAAGGAAGAGGCCCTTCGACATAATAAGACTAGTAACTCATTGACTGTTAGTCACGATGCGATGGAGACAACTAGAAAAAAACACGTTGTTCAGGCCACAAGTAAAAAAAAACAAACATTTACGTCGGGATAAAGTAGAATATCGTGCGTTCTGTACCTGCTCATCTACTACTCGAGTTGTATGTTCCGCAAGTAGATTGGTCAAAACATAATCGTACATGACACATTTCGTTGTGAGATTGATATGACGACCAAGAGAAACCAGGAACCAGAAAAAAAAGGTAGGAGGGATGGAGGGGGAGGGGCGGCGGGCAGCAGCAGCAGAAGCAGCAAGGAGTGAGGGGCAGGCACAAAAGAAGCAAAGCTCAAGTCTTGTACGGTAGGTGCATCTGCCGTTTGTACCTACAGCATTCACACCTGTCCGTTATTACGACCGCATAGGGGGAAAATACGGCGTCGTGGAAATGGAAGCGCGACAAGATGCCTCGCTGGATGCGGGATCTCGCACATCCCTGTCTCATGCGCCAGAGTCAAAAGACAGGATAGTCGTAGGTGCGAGAAATAGCAGTCCCAGTAATACCTAAGACGGCAGTCAATACATGCACGTATTTTCTGGAAGCTCTCATACGATAATCGTAGTAATAATAGTAAAGGAAACAACTCAATGTGGTACGAGCCCCTGGACCAATTCTCGCATAGTAGGCCAAGTACCTATACGACGCCAAAACGCGTAGGGAGTACTTGAACTTGGTGGAGGGGGCGTGTGAGCTGCACGGAGAGTACAGTGGGCTTGTAATACCGAGTACGAGCCCCAAGTCTGGGAAGCAGAGCACTAGACCTAACCACTAATGGCACCTAGCCATGGGTACGTACTCGTAGTAGTATCCATCATGGATCACGGTGGGCAGCACCTCAAAGCGGCATCATCCTTTTAAGCTGGGTGGATTATTAGCACGCCTGCTGGAGCAACGCCTGCCCGCGGCCCTCGCTGTCGTCGAGGTTCTTCCATGTTAGCACACGTCCCATCGTATTACAGAGCACTACGGACTATGTGATACGGTACAGAATATGGAGTAGGCTGCCCGGGGTGGAATCCGGGCAATTAACAATAGCATACTGGCAGAATTTTGGCGACATTCATGGTCTCTAGAACGCCTTACCAATATAAGTACTCATATGCCGTAGTACACGGCAAACCATCTGCAGCCCCCAGCCTCCTTCGTAAGCAGATGATACGGAGAGTAATATTACTAGTTAATGGGTTCTATCAGCCAAGCAATAGTAGTAGCACTATTACGGAGTAGTGATACTCTGTGTTGTACTCAGAGTAACACCTACTGAGAGAGGGCATCCCAGAAACCCCCAGTCCTCTCTAGTGGCGCCCCTCCCATCCACACCACATCCACCTCGCCTCAGCCACGGATTGGGAGGAGGGAATACCAAGTTACAACATACGTACTCCGTACTCGTAGAGGGGCCCCTCCACCCCGCTGGGTTAGAGGGGCCCCGCTGCCCGTTCCAGTGCAGCGCGCTCGTGCGCCGGGTCCTAGTTAAAAGAAAAGAAGGGAAAAAAGGGCACAGGACAATACTGCAGCTTGCATTGAGTTGCATGAACCGAACAAACTTGTCGGAGGGCGGTCAAGCAAACAAGAGGCGAGGGACATCATAGCCTATACCGAATCTTTCACCCACGCACACGGCAAGGTCGAAGTGGATGAGAATGGCGCATCTGTTGGGCAAGTGGGACAAGAGGGGAAGAGGGGGAGATGAGAGAAGGAGGAAGGAGGGGAAAAGAGAAAGAGCGAGGGGCGGCGGCGGAGGGGGCGGGGGGGGGCGTGTGGTGTATGGTGTGTGGTGTGTGGTGTGTGGCGTGTGGTGACTGATGGATGGGTTAATCATCGTCCAGTGATGCATTGTCTGCTTCAATAAGTGAGGTCCGACTTTTGTTTTCTTTTTGATGGCACGGATGCCCGCCTAGACCAAGACGGCCACAAGCACGGCCCCAAGAGTACAAATTTATTATTCGGCCAGCTTTCCTGCCTCTCAGCCACCCCCTCCCCTCCCTAGTTGTTGGTTGTAATGTGTACCACCATCACGCGCCTGGAGTGGTGTAGCGTGTCCCAGTGTCACATGTACCCAGTACGTACTATAGGCTGGCAACGTCTCCCCTCATCCATCGTCCCGCCCCTCTCTCCCTTCCACGCCCTCGGTTGGGCCCTCCTTCTTTTTCAGTTAAACCCCCCAAATATCCCACCCACAGGGCCTAATAATCCACAGGGCCACAACCCGCCAGTCCGCCGGGTGGACAACCCGAATAGACAGCTGGCGACAGCGCCTACCCACTTTCTTTGGGCCACCCACTCCGTCTCTAAGACTATTGTGCTACCGCTTTTACTTCCTTCCCTCTCGCTCTCTCGTGTACTCGTACTCCGTAGGCTCGTAAATCTGCACTGGATTTCTGCCCACCCCCTCCACTCGCTGCCCTCCCGTTTTCCTCCTGCCCCCCTCTTCCTCCTATACTTTTCTACTTCTTGTTGCTACTCCTCACTTTCCCTTTCCTCCCACTTCTCCATTCATCAACCCGCCCCTCTCCCTTCTACCCCCCATTCCCCTCGATTCTCTACCTTTTCCAACATCTTCTCTTCTTCGATTTTTTTTTCGTTTTTTTTTTTCCGAACAGACACCTACTTGAACACACACATCTTGTTCGAGATTTCACAATTTGTTCCATTTGCAAGGTCTTCGCTAGAGCCTTCGCATCCAATACCCCCCCCTCGACCAGAAAGAAAACCCCTTCACATATACATTCCATGACCAGGTTACAACCGCTTCCAATGACCAGCTACACGTTCGAGTCCATCGTTGCCACACTTTAAAGCCCACGGGAGCGCGCGTGCGAGCGAGGAGCTAGGAGTCGAGAGAAAACATCACACTGCGAGAGAGAGAGACTACAACCACCAAACGGAGATTCAGAAACGAGACAACAGACGATTTTCAACAGTCGTACTGCCCAACCACAACCCACTCTCTACCGAGAGAGCGAAAACAAGCAAGAGTCGTACAGTACAAGTCAACAGCTACTACCACAAATTCACCTCCTTTCCAACGTCCCCATCTCGTCCAACCGCTCTCAAAGGGTGACCGCGACGCTGTCATCGAAAATGCCTGGTGCAAGCGTTGCAGTGCTCCCCCCGCCAGCGGCATCGACTCCGTCCTCGCGGAAGGCTTCTATGGCACCCGAACGCAAGTACAAGTGCCAGTTCTGCCACAGAGCTTTCAGCAGGAGTGAACATCGCAGCCGTCATGAGCGTTCACGTACGTTCAACCCCCCCTCTTACGGTCGCATTTTTTTTTGTTGCGTTTGTTTTTGACTACCCCTGTCACTGGGTGATTCATCAGATCTTGACACCCATACTCCCCCCTTTTACCATCACTAACTTTGTAAATGCTATACAGATACCAAGGAGCGTCCCTTCAAATGTATGAAGTGCCGCAGTACTTTCGTTCGCCGAGACCTCCTTCTTCGCCATGACCGCACTGTCCATGCCAAGGATGGCGGTGTTCCTCTGCACAGCGACGGCAAGCGTCGTGCTGGTCCCAAGACCCGCAATGTCGAGCGACCCTCCAAGTCACAACTCGAGCTGGATGCGTCGACAATAGAACAGATGGAAGCTGGCAGCGATGGCCTCTTCGATGTTGAGGCCGCCGCCATGCTTGTTGCTGATCTCCACCACAAGGCCACCGCTTCGATGCGCGACGAGAGCTCTTTTGAGGACGGCCCTACCGCAGACTACTCGCCCCGTAATGGGTCCATGAACGAGTCAGCAGTCACCTACCCCTCGGGAGCGATTGCTCTTCCCCAAGTCCAGTGGGACGGTTTCATGCCTCAGACGGTCAGACAGCCCAAGGCCCATTCCATCACCTCGAGCGCCGGGTCCTTTGACTCTCCCCAGCACGCGCCCACACAGAGCCACGCCCCATCTGGTCCGCTGCCTCCCATGGGCGCTCACAGCGCTGACGGCTTCATGCCCGCCCTGCAGGCCATGATTGGCGACCGCGGAACTCCGGTCCCTCAGAGCCCGTCGTCCGACCCCTCCCTCGCCGGCTTCAAGTCCCCGCAAGTCGCCAGCGAGGAGGAGCGCAACATGATTCTCGACAACATTCGTCACAGCGACAGTGAGCGTGCCATCCCCGACGGCTTCCGCTTGCCCGGTCTCGGCTCCATCAACAGGTACTTGTCGACCTACTTTGGCCTGTTTCACCATCACCTACCCTTCCTGCACCCGGCCTCGTTCAAGCCCACTCACGTGTCGCCGCCCCTTCTCCTGGGAATCCTGAGCATTGGCGCCCTGTACGCCTTTGACCAGGATCAGGCCTACATGTGCCACATTGGCTCCAAGGTGTTGGTGACACAGTTCCTCCAGAACAAGGAGAACTTCAGCTCGCGCAAGTGTCCCTTGTGGACCATGCAGGGAACGCTTCTTAACATGATCTTTGCTTCGTGGAGCGGTGACCCTAAGGGTCTCGAGTGGGCGTGTTCGATCAAGAGTCTTCTTGCCAACATGGTGGCTGGTAACCGCTACGAGCTTAAGCTTCGTCAGGATGCCCGCAGTGGCGCCAAGCCCAGCCGCACTGAGTGGATCGAGGACGAGGGATGTCGACGTACCTACTACGCCGTTTACATCTTCTTTGGCTTGCTGACCCTCTCGTACAACCACACGCCGGCCATGAGCTTCAACGAGTTCGAGGATCTCCAGCTGCCGTCGACGGAGGCCATGTGGAATTTGCAGGTGTTGGACGAGAACACCTGGCTTGAGCACCTCAACGCCTCGAGCGAGTCGACCTTCATGAACTCGCACGACCAGCTCTTCCAGGGTGAGGCGCTTAAGTACAGCGCTTTTGCGTCTCGCGTCATGATTAACGCCCTTTTCCTCGAGGTCTGGTACCACAAGCGCAGCCCCGAGGCTCTCCAGGACGTTGTCACCGAGTACAAGCTAAGGCTCGCCCTCGAGACGTGGGAGAAGTCGCTCGACCTCTGTGAGCCCGAGACGGCGGTGCCCCTGAGCGCCCCCCACAAGGGACATCCCTTGATCTTCAATGCTAAGGCCCTGTACCGCAACGCTCGCGCCAGGCTCGAGGTGGACCTCAAGACTGTGCAAGAAGCTCTCCGTTACCACGACCCTTACGAGGTGGCGGCCGCCATGTCTCACGCCCGTGACCGCGTAAAGCGTAGCGGCGAGATGCTGCATGTCATCCAGGAATGCTACGACTGCCTCGAGATCGCTGTGCAGCAAGGCCTCCGCTGGGTCGCCAGGACCTCGCCCACCAACTGGAGTATCGAGCACCCTCTGTGCGGCCTCGACCTCATGATCATCCTCTCCCTGTGGCTCTACCGTCTGGAACATGACGAGGAAGCCGCTTCGGAGGAGGAGCTGGCCATGTATAACAAGGTCCGCAAGCTCCTGATTAAGGATGTTGACGAGAGGTACATGACACAACTGAGTTCTGTTGTCGCGAGGCTCTGGGGCTCGATGCTCGATGAAGTTGTTGTATGGGGGTGAGTTTCTCCCTTCTTCACTGGATATATGTGGGTCACATTGCTAACAATTTGACAGTATCACCCGTCTCATGGGAGAATCTATCAAGCTCCATTCCCAGGCCCTAGTCGGCTACGTCGACGACCCTGAAGCTTCCTCAAATGTCTCTACCCCTTCGATGACTTCGCAGGGGGCAGACGAGGATAGCGTGTACTAAAAGAAACAAACAAATAATTCGCCACGATTGAAACGATTTCCTTTGGTTTCGCCAGAAGGGGACTGGTCCCCTCGCCTTTTTTTCGGGTTTTATTCTCTCGTCTTGCGCACATTTTTTTCCTCCCTTAACATTTCCTTACTTCTCGGTCTTAAGTCTCGTTCTCGATTTTTCATTGGTATGCGCGCAAGTCTTGGGAAGGGAGTTGGCCTCGTTTCAAGCGTCGTTTGAATGGCTCTTTTATAATTTCCTTTCTATTTTGTCCATCTCCTTGAGTTGAAGCAATTTCTCTGTTTATTTTTCCTTCACGGTATCCCGGGGCAGAGCGGGTTGCTGCGCGTTTCTTTTTGTTTTTTCATATTTTTTTTATATGATGCGTCTGATTTTTTTACTTGAGCATTTGCGAGTTCTTTGTTTTATATTCTCGGCAAACATCGGTGACTTAATCTACCAATGGGGGATGATAGAGTACGAAGCGAGGAAGATGATGGGAAGGAATATGGGTGATGGGATCTACACCTCCTGACTGAGAGAAGTGGTATTTCTTTTCTTGTCTACCCTTCTCATTGGCAGGATGAATGGGCTGGTTCCATGTTGAATAAGCGGTCGCCTTCTTTTGCTTCGGCTTGGGTCTTTTATTTTTTTTGAGCGTCGAGTTTTCTTTTTCCTCCTTTATTTCTAATCTCTCACTTGGACGGGCGGCTGTCTGCAGACATCATTTATCATCTTTGGGTTGCTGCATGCTTGCTCGCTTCTTTTTGATCTATTTTTTTTCTCTATTTCTTTCTCTCCTTATTATTTTTTCTCTTTTTTCTTTTGCATTTTCAGATACCTTGTGCGATATACTGACTGGCTGCTTTCTTGCTTGGTCTTCTGCCCTATATCTTTTCTTGCTCTCCTCTTGTCTTTCCTTGACCTGCCAGTTATATTAGCAACCATATTTTGATGCCTTTTCATTTGTTGTTCTGGGGGATAGGGACAGTCATGAGTCGCCTCCCGTGTACAGATATGTTTTGAGAGCTCTTTTCCTTTTCTTTCTTCGTTTATTTTTTCTTCAAAAATCTTTGCGTCTCAGTCTATTCTCTTTTCTCTGCCAAAAAAAAAGGAAAAAAAAATGCTGGTTTCTTGTCCATGATGTGAATAATGTTGCTCCTTAATGTGAAGGAATAATGCTTGGCTAATGTGTGTGACGTGACGTTGGGTAGTATCGAGGTCATGAGCGTGTGTTGCAGAAGAGAGCTCATGATGCCATGACGCGGATGCGGATGCATGCAATAACAGTCAAAAGTAGTAATAGTACCACTATTATAGTGAAAGTACTGATAGTAGTCAATCTGCATGTAAGGAACTGGAATGAGACGTAATGTACCGTGCCAACAGTATATGGCATATGTCATGTTTTGGGCAGAGGTCACTGAGAGATTGATATCAGGCTATATTATATTGTTGCGGAGTGTTCTATCGACGATGATGATACATTCATGTAGTAATCAGAACCTCACAAGACCATCAACAACCAAGTACCAAACAAGTTTCCCCACGAATTATGGCATTCTCCCGTGAAGGGATGCAACGTTGAATCCTTGGCCTTGTGATGTTGATGAGAAAAAGGAGAAGAAGGAGGGTGAACTGCCGATCCATCACTTGACGTTTAGGGACTGTGTGGGTGGGATGACCAACAAAACCCCTCCATCTCCCCGGCTTTTCTGTCTTGCTTGCAGTAATGGCAGCAGCAGCAGCACACTTATGTAGTGGTAGTCTAGCACGTAGAGAATGGTGGATCAAGTCACCAAGTCGTAGCGAGATTTCAGCTGCACAAGGGAGGGGAAAAAGTGTTGGTGGTTCCACCTGAGGATATACGATTCGTGACGAGATGCGTTTGCATTGGGATCTATATAAAGGGGGGAAGGTCGTTGTTATCTTAAGAAGGAACGAACAAGTCATTCCCTTGCGATACAAAACACTCCTCGACACATACTACACTATGAAGAGCTTCAAATCAGCCATCCGCCAAGCTGCGGCCAAGGTAAAAGGTCAGAAGAAGCCAGTTCCAGCTCTTTCTACCGAACAAACGGCAACTGCAGTTGCAGCTGCTCAGAAAAAGCCCATTGCCAAGGCAGCCACGGCCGATGGGACAATCCAAGTTGTTCTGAAGAACACCAAGATCTCCGCCAAGCTGTATGCGCACATCACGGGAACGGACTCCCAGGGCCGTCTGGCGATACTGTCTGACGACGGCACGACGCTCAACTACCCGTCCGGCCCCGGATCGTCCCTCCCGGCGGGTATAGAGGTCGGTTCGGCGGGTTCCTCGCGCACGGTGACGATCCCGCGCATCTCTGGCGGGCGCATCTGGCTCTCGCAGGGCACGCCGCTGCAGTTTAGCGTCAACTCGGGCCCTGCGTTGGTGGAGCCGTCGGCGACCAATGTGTCAGACCCGAACTACCAGGTGGACTGGGGCTTCTGCGAGTTCACGTACAACGATGCGGAGCTGTACGTCAACGTGTCGTACGTGGACTTTGTCAGCCTGCCCATCGCCCTGCAGCTGGAGAACGAGGGCGGCAGCGTGCGGCGTGTCGAGGGCATGCCGGCCGACGGGCTGGACCGTGTGGCCGCCGGCGTCGAGGCGCAGGGCACCAAGGACGGCAACGGGTGGGAGAAACTGGTCGTCCGCAGCGACGCGGGCGTGCTGCTGAGGGTTCTCAGCCCCAACGCCGCGGCCGTGCTGTTCCCCGGCCTGCTCGTGGACTACTACGCTGCCTACGTCGACGCTGTCTGGTCAAAGTACAGGGGGGAGGACCTCACCGTCAACACGCAGTATGACTGGGGCGACATCGTCGGCAGGGTCGGCTCGGACGGCAAGCTAACCTTTGGCGGCGACTCGTCCCTCGCCTTTGCGAAGCCGTCCGCCGCCGACATCTTCTCGTGCAGTACCGGGCCTTTTGCCGCCGGGGACGGCGTATCGGACGAGAGGCTGAATATCGGCGCCAGGATCGGCGCCGCCCTTAACCGGTCCACGCTGCTGCTCAACGCCCGTCAGCCAGAGGGCGAGAAGGTTGAAGACTACTACAAGGCTGATGTGACGAACCACTTTGCCCGCGTTTGTCATGAGACTGCCATCGAGAGCAGGGGCTATGCGTTCCCTTACGATGATGTCGGCCCGTCACAGGGGGCCGATCAGTCTGGTTTCCTGAATGATCCGAACCCCAAGGTCTTGACTATCGAGGTTGGTGGGTCTTCTTGAAAGGTCACACGCATGTGTTCCGGTGACTTTGTATGTATGAGCAAGACGTGTGTTGGTTGGGGGACGGAATGACGTTTTGGGTTCGAAGCTGAATATTTGTGTGTATATAGCCATTGACATGAACTTTTTAATATGCGAAGCAAGAGATGAATGACCACCGTGATTTCGTCAACGCCCTGAGTGTCAATTTTCACTGGGGGTGCTTGTTACATCCCCCCCCTCCCCTCATTACAACAGACGAAACAATGTCCATTGTTTCTGCAGACCCTCGATGCGCACCCCTAGAGTAGAAGCACACTCACACATACTCTCACTCTGCGTCCTTATGTTCATCGGGGTCATCCAGCTTAGTCCCCAGCGCCTCCTCCATCCCGTGAACATCCGGCGTGACCTCTACCCCCTGGTCCTCCGACGATTGGCCTAAGTTAGACTGGAGAATGCCCGCCACTGAGAGAGGCAGGAAGTCCTCATAGGTGATGGGCAACGCCTCGAGCATCCCGTCTTCCACGAGCTTCTCGAGATGGATCATCCCACTGCCATCGGAACCCAAGAGCTTCCATTCTTCGCCCTCGGACGTACACCGGAACGTGTAGTACAGTAGTCAACGCCTACGTGGCTTATGCAGTCATCAGGTTACTTCTTGAAACCTCCGCCATCGTGGCGTCCATCTTCTGCGCACTTAGCGTGTCGGGGCTGTAATTTGTCGTAACCATGACCTCGTCGAGCAGCTCGTCGTACAGTTCCTGCCGGCGGGTGTGACGGCCGCGCCCCGCTCTTTGATCTTGCCTAACCGGGTGCGGTGCGAGCCGCGCGCGGGCAGCGACGACACCGGAAGGCAGAAACTTGATGGCCTCTTCCACGGCCAGGGGAAGCTCGTCTGAGGCAGCAGGATGGGACAGGAGCGTAGCTGGGGGCCCTCGATTCTGTCCTTAACCCTGAGCCTGTCAGTCTTCATGCGCTCCTGGGCGGCCGTGTTGTCGAGCATGCGCAGGGTGAGGCGGTTGATGTGCGTGCTGCGGAAGCAGGTGACGTCTGCGAGGATGGGGTGTTCGGCTTGCAGGCAGGCGTATTCGTCGTATGTGGCGGCGGCGCTGTTGTGCTAGCTAAACGTCCTGAGGGCCTCTGTTACCAAGCGCGGGCCCTGTTCGGTGGTGAGCCGGCTGCTTTGTGCGCTGGCTACGTGAGAAGCCGCATCAGCCCGTCTGTGAAGATGTTACGCCGCGACAGGAGGTCCATGGCTAGGGTGCGCGCGGCACGGTCGCGCAACAGGACGGGCCGCTGGACGGATGTAAAAACGTGTAAAGGGTTGCGGTGCAGGGAGGCCTGCGTCCCGGGGCGAAAACACGTAGCGTGCATGGGGACCCCGCCGCCCACAGGTCGTAGTACCCCGACTGTGTGTAGGAGGCCGATGATGGGGGAGACGCGGCTGGTTGTGCGCAGCTCGTGCGGCGTGCCCAGGCGGATGGCGGCGTGCCTCTCGACGTCGAGCCGCGTCGAAGCCACGTCGCCGTACTTGATGGACAGGGCCTTGGGGTCTACGCTCTCGGACAGTGCGGCGTCGTCGACCTTGCTAACTACGTGCACAGGGTCACCATACAAGGGGGGATCCCTTCTTGTACATGGCTGACATGACCAGGGTGAAGGCAGTGCGGAGGTCATCGAGGTCAGCCTAGGTGGCCTGGCCACCGGGTATGTCGTTGGCACTTGGACTCATGGTGGGTTGATGATGATAGCGATGATGATGATGTAGAGAGGAGAGGGGAGCAGGGAAGGACTAACTACTACCACAGATGTATGTAGGTACATGTATTGTAACTTGACGTTAAATAGCCAGTCATGCTTTCTGAATGGCTCTGATCCTCCTGCTATCATTGGCAGTAACCTCCGGGAGTAGCAGCGTGACGTCGACTGAGTTGAGAGAGAGAAAGAGAGAGGAAAAAAGCAGAGGACCCTTGTCCAGCTTTATCATGTATAATCCGGCATCTTATCAGCAAGATTTCCCGATCTAGTAACACGAAGTTTCGCATCTGGAATAGCACAACTTTCGATGTCAATGACTCGGGCCCCGACACCGGGACACCAGGACACCGGGACACCGGCGGATCTGTTTGCATTGGATCATGCGTTGAAGCTTTGCATCTTCCAACCCATCATCTGGGATCCAGTACGGGGGATACGGACGGGGCCTCCAGCAGGGGAAAAGAAGAAATGGCCGGCGAGAAGACGAACAGGCCAAGACGTCCATGTGGGAAGAAAAGGAGACAAGAGCAGGAACGCTGTAATTGGTTAGGATTCCCGCATGGCCAATTTGCCACAAACACGGTTATTCTCCCATGCCGGTTGTGCATATTTCATTGATGTGATGCTTCGTCCAGACAGTCTTGCACCGGAAAGTTTGGGTATCGTGGGATCGCCGGAGCCCCTCACTCGCATCCGGATCACCGAGTCCGCCGTCTCCACTGTGTGGGAGAAAGAGGATTGTGACGATATGGTCATCATCAGTCCGTTAAGACGTGACTCTCTTCTTTCCTTTCTTTTTTCTTTTCTCGTTCCAACATACATGAGTGACAAGTCGGTATATGGCACTTCTTCCTAAGGCATCGAAGAGGTGGTTGAGTAATCATCTATTACGTCCAATGTCACCTGATAACATGGTATAAAATATATCACAGCTAGGCAGACTGGTAAGCAAGGTGACGACCAGACATGTGCTGCTAGTTCTATCAATTAATATCCAGTAAATTCTGTTGAATGCCCCCGCAAATGGTAATACGGGACAATGTTAGGTAGGTACTACTAACTACTTTGAAGGACTCCAACACAACGTGTAGGTGTGACCGGGGCCTCGGGGCACCGCTAAGAAACGCCTCAAACCGACCGTAGTCTGGAATAGTATTAGTTACATGTACAGGTGCGGTAGACCGTTACATTCAGTGTATTACAGTTTACTATTATTACTGGGTAGACTTAGGTATATGTACGGAGTACATACTCGTATAGTAGGCTGTAGCTAATGCATAACAGGTAGAGTGACGCTGGTGCGATATTCTTTCCGGTGGCACTTGGGTTCCGCGGTCCAATCTTGTCCGTCGCTCTTTCCTTTTGCTTGCCGGTCGTGTTGACCAAGGCAATAGCCTTCTGCGTTCCTTGCTATTTCTTCTTCCTGGACTTTGGCTTTCACAGATATTCCGTAATCTCGGGACGGATAACCGAGGAGAACATTCCACCTCAACCCTGATGCCTAACGTCTCTCCTCTTACTTCCTTCTCGTCTTTCCCCCCTTTCAGCCTCTCGCCAACGACCTCGAATCCACCAACTCTCAGTCCCACTGCCAAGGAGATAAAAGCCCAGCTCTCATCACGCCTTCTTTAGCATATCCGCTGGCATTGGCATATCCAACCCCTTGTCTTCTGTTAACCCACTTGCGGATCGAGCAAGCTCTTTCCTCCTCGGCCCTTGCCAAGTCCAGCTATCCATCCATTGCTCACCACTATTGCCTATACAGGTGCTGGTAACGCCTTGCTCCCTCCTCGAGTTCACATCTGCCGAGTATAACATCGGCTCGACAACGCGTGTGAATACTCCTCAGAGGCGATAACGAGGACGGCGGAGAATAAGAGCACGGTATTCTCATGATACATCCCAATCCGAGTGCACCATTCATGCCGTCATCTGAGTACTAGCTGCTCATCATTACGCATTCCCTCCCCTCCTCTTCCCTAAACGACCTCTTCTTCTCACGCGCTCCTCTGCAAGCACATCCTCCGCCATCATGGTGTACTGTGGCAAGCCTTCTAAGGGCTGTTCCAACTGCCGTGACCGCAAGGTCCGAGTAAGTTCTCCACCGCTGACATCTTGTTTTTGCCCCGAACTGCCGACTAACAACATTGGCAGTGCGATCAACGGGAGCCGGCATGCGGCCAGTGCGAGAAACGCCAACAAAAATGTCCCGGCTACAGAAACCTGGTTGACCTCATGTTTCGCGACGAGAGCACCCGCGTCATCAAGAAAGCCATGGGGAGGACCAGCGCGCGCGGAGCTGTCAAAAAGCCCACGTCTTCGTCAGCATCTGTTACCGAAGCCGACGCTCTTGTTGCTGTAGGCTCCAAGGCTACGAGGTCGAACATGGCGTTCCCGGTGACCGCCAAGGTATCGTCACAGTCAGACCAATATCGCTTCCATGGGAGGGCCAACGCCAAAGCTCTTATGAAGCCCCCCGTGACTCGCCCTCGTGGTCTGCAGTCGTCTTTCCTTGCCATGCTCACGCCCACCACCGACATTGCTCCTCCATCATCCGACGAGTCTGAGGAATCCGATGTTTCCGATATGCGCCTCGGCGCTCCCCTCTCGTATACCCTCCAGGAGCGCGGTACTGCCTTCTTCTTTTCCCGCTACGTCGCCGTCGACTTCGGTTGCTACCAGAATTACGACTTTGTCTATGATGTCTGGAGGCCCCCCGGTTCCGAATCGGGCTATGTCGACTGCGTGACAGCCAGTATGGCTGCCGTCGGTCTAGCTGGCCTGTCCAAGGTGACACGTTGTGGCCAGACCATGATGCGGGCGCGCCAGAGCTACGGGAACGCCCTCAAGCTCACCAATACCGCCTTGCAAGACCCTGTTCAGGCTGTTAAGGACAGCACTATGCTGTCTGTCCTCATCCTCGGCACCTACGAGTTTATTACGGGTCGCACACCCCAGACAATGGCTGCCTGGAAGGATCACGTCAACGGTGCTGCTGCCCTCACTCGTATGAGGGGCATCGCCCCGTTCCGCACAAAGGCGGGCATCAGGATGTTCCTGATGCTCTGCCACTCAGTCCTCATCAGTTGCATCCAGGGAGGACTACCCATGTCGCAGTCCATGCTCGATCTCCGCGACGAGCTTGGCCAGTTCACCAACACCAACGACCCCACCTGGCGCATCGTCGAGCCAATCTGTCGAGCTTTACAGATCCGTTACGACATAAAGAATGGCATGCTAAGGGACACGGATGAGATTGTGGACCAGTTAGCCGATGTGGAGAAGGAGTTTTCCGCTATTGTCGACGAGATGCCGAGGTTCTGGCGCTACCGCTGTGCCCGTGTCAACATTCCCAACGCTGCCATCCTGAGCAGTTGGTGCCACATCTATCCAGGTTTCGCGCAGGCCACAACATGGAACGGCATGCGCACCATGCGCGTCCTGGTGCAGGAGACCATCCTGGAGGAGCTGTGCTCGAGCATGGCCCGCGATCCCGATCCACCCATGCGTCACCGGCTCATGCTCTCCAAGTCGATGCGCCTCCTCGAGTTGCTCGGCGACGCCGTCGTGGCCAGCACCCCTCAGCACTTTGGCGTCGTCAGCTCCCGCGACGCCAAGTCCCACGGCGGCGGTAAGCTCGAGTTTGTCGATGCCACACGGCCACCGGAGCCCATCGTCTCGGCCTGCCCTATCACCTCCCCGCGAGGCAGGCAGAATCAGCAGCAGCAGCAGCAGCAGCAGCAGAACCAGCTTCAGCCGTGGCCCCGACACCCCACGCCAGAATCGCCGGGCAACTCGCCCCGACCTACACTCCTCGACCCAACGCAGTCATGTGACGGCCGTGGTGATCCCAAACGCTTCATGACTCTGGCCTCGGCGAGCAACACGATTGTCTGGCCCCTATACACGCTCGGCATGTCATCTTCGTGCACGCGCGAGACGCGCCACTACCTCATCGACCGCCTCGACGTCATCCATAAGGAGACGGGGCTCGACCAGGCCCGTGTCGTTAAGCAGTTGCTGCAGGATAAGGTTGAGTATCAGCCGTGGGATCGTATTCCCAATCTCCACCTGCCAGAGGTTCCTGACGAAGCGCTTCCCCTCTGGGTGTAGGTGTTGACGAACCTTGGTTTATTCTTTCATTCTCTTTTCTTTGCTTGGATAAGATTCCATTGCTTGTATTTCGGGGTATATCTTTGTTTTTCTTCTTCCATTTCATGTTTCCACCTGTTTTACATACCAAATCCTACTCTCACTTTCGTATCCAGCCTTGGTATGCTACTATCGTCGCGTGAATTGAATGTAATATCAACCGCCCACGTGATCCATGGTTATCAACCCCGTGGTTTCCTATGCGATAAGAGAGAACAAAAAACACATATATTGTACATCGTTACCAGCTATCGAAGTTGCCAAACCCGCCATGACCCTTCATCTTTTTCCGAGCAGGAGTCTGTTGATCCCATGGGTCTGTACTGGCAGGCAACTTACGAGACAGCGATGATGATGTTTCCGGTGCTGCTTTTGATGACTCGGAGTGGAGGTATTTTCCCACCGCGATACCAGAAGCCGAGTCGTCCACGGTTCCGTCTTTTCGGATCTTCTTCCCCGTCCAGGTGGTCCTGTCGTCTTCTGTGCCGCCCTGCCTCTTGATCTCGGCGGCCTCCTGCTCTTGGCGGTCCTGGTGGTCCCTCTGCTTCTGGAACTCCTCAAAGGGGTCCACGTAGACGACCACGTCGGAAATTGTAATGTCGCGGAGGGGGCGGTTGGTCGTGCCGTCGACGGGCGTAGCCTCCATCTTAGTCAGGGTGTCGAGCCCTTCGATGACGGTGGCGAAGACGGTATGCTTGCGGTCGAGGTGCGGCGTGGCCTTGTAGGTGATGAAGAACTGGCTCGAGTTGGTGTTCTTGCCCTTGTTGGCCATAGACATTGTGCCGCGGGCGTTGTGCGTCAAGGGGCCGTCGAACTCATCGTTGAAGTACTTACCCCATATGCTAACGCCGCCCTTGCCCGTGCCCGACGGGTCGCCGCCCTGGATCATGAACCTGGGGATGTTGCGGTGGAAGCTGACGCCGCGGTAGTAGCCCTTCTTTGAGAGCTGGACAAAGTTCCACACGGCTTTCGGGGCGAACTCCGGGTGCAGCTCGAGGGTCAGATCGCCTAGGTTGGTCTCCATTCGGGCGTATCCCTTGTTGCGTACCCGTCGAGGTTTGAGCATGTACTCCTCCTCCGACAGGACGGCCCGCTCGCCGCTCGTCTCGGGCGTCAGACCTGTGCTCGTGAAACTGGCTGCTGCCTTTCCGGTCGTGTACATGGCCGAGTTCGCTGCCAACTTATTCTTCTTCTCCTGGATTTTGGCCGCCTGTTGCGCTGCCACCACCGTCTGCGCGGGCGACTGCTTTGCGAGAGCGCTTGAGCTCCTGTTGACGTCGGCGGCACCAGACTCGCGGGCCTTGCGCGCCCTCTCTACAGCCGCCTTGGCCTTGAGAACCTTGTCGCCCATGCTGCCCAGGGCTCCAGCGTTGATGTCGCCCTCACGGCGGGCTTTCTCTTGCTCCTTTGTCAGCTGGGCGTCCAACCCGTCCTGCAAGTACTTGAAGTGGCCGAGGTTGCGGCTGGAGACGTTCTGCGGATCCTGCAGGGTTATGATGTCAGCGCGTGTGAAAGGCTGGTCATCGACCAGGTCCTGCCACAGCTTCGGTTTGATGTTCATGCGCTCGACCGTGTCGGCGGCAAAGACGTTGGCATAGGTACCATGGCGGATGGCGACAATGTGCGTGTTGTCGGTGAAGACTTTGTAAGTGACAGGGTCGACCAAATCGCCACCACCGCTACCGTCTGCGTTGTCGCTGGACTCGACCGCGGCCGTGGATGAGTTCCGTGAAAAGTTGAGCTTGATCAAGTCCTTCTTGCTCAGAGAGCTGCCGTCGACAGGGTTCTGGCCCGGATGCTTCTCCAGCCAGGCGCCAATGACCTCAACGTCGAAGACTGTGCCGTCGGGGGTGCACACCGGGTTCTTGAAGGGCTGGAGACTTGCGGCACAGAAGTTGAAGGGCAGACGACGAAAGGGCGTAGATGTATCGCCGCGCGACGAGGCGTTTGCGCCGACACTGGCCGAGTAGGCGTCGGCTGACGACCACTCCGAGTGGGTGATCTGAGAGGGGAGGTTAGCGCCAGGTCTCTTCTTCGTTCCCCCATCCTCCAAGAGGATCAACTTACGTATAGCTTGTCTGTCCCCTTGCCCATGGCTGCTGCTCGCAGATTGCTTGATGATGTGGGGGGGAGGGAGTGGGATGGATGCAAAGCAAAAGTGCCAGTTTCAAGAAGATCATTCAATTCAAATTCTAGGTTTGGCAGTTGCGATGTGGTCGCGGGTTGCGCCTGCCGCAATTGCTGCAGGGGTCCGCCCCCCAGATTACGTAGTAGTGGAGCTGATAGGGATAATGCCACGGGAGGAATTTTGAACTAGCGGTACATATTTGTATCTCTGTACTCTGTACCTACTAACTTTATACTGTATCTGATAATACTTCATGATTGATGAAGAACAAGTCCTTTGTATGCCGACAATGTACCTCCCTTCAATACGTACGCCACCTCCCAATGCGTAAGCCAAAAGCTGCCACATCTCACCCAAACAGCCTCAAGTCTTCAGCTACTTATCACCAACCAATTCTCGCTGCACCCTCCTCTATTCCTATGCTCCCGCCTGTGGACGCGACATATTCAACCCTCACTGTGTTGGTCGTCTAGTTACTCCTCGGATCTCATCACCCGCCGCAGCCCAAACCGAATCCTTTGACGCTAGCTGCAACTAAGCTCGGCCGTTCTTTTCCCCCCTTGGCCACCCCCGGGCTCTCCGTCGACGGACGACGACGCGACCCACGCTCCTCTCGGTGTACACGTTCTTCAAGACCCGATACGATTATATCCTGACGTGATAACCGTAATGAAGATTTTACAGAGCTTGCTCCTTTTGGGGCTGTCCCTCGGGGCGACCCAGGCCATGGAGATCAAGCTGGTATGTGGCATACCCAGCAGCGCTAGGAGACGATGCTACAATATCAACTGACACGCGACTTGTTCTTCTTTTTTTCTAGGACGAGACGGAAGAGAACCGCCAGTATTGTGCTGGTAAGTGTTGTGCATTCCTTCTTTCTTCCCAAGGAAGATGAATGCGCGTAGTTGACGCTCGATGTCGCAGGGATGTACGACAAGAAGACCTGGGGAGGCCCAGTCGATCCTTTTATCCTGCTCAAGTACATTGCTCAGGACGGCCTCGCCGACGATGCCTCAACGGCCAGCATGCTCCTCTTTGAATGGGCTGATAAGGACCTCGTTGGCCTCGCCGACCCAGACGCCCTGGTAAATGTAAGAGCTAGCAATCCGTATATAATAGCTGTTGGCTGGGCTTTGCTGACCTGGACCCTCACACTTGGCAGGTCCTCGCAATCTGTACACCAGAATACGTCGAACAGGGCCTGTGCAACAACAAGCAGGTCGGCCAGTTCATCACCTCGGCAAACGCCACCGACGCATCCAAGGCCGACATCGTCACTGCCGCCATCAACCTCAAGGAGCCCGAAGTCGTCAAGTACCCCATCAAGAAGACAGGATACTACTGCCTCGTCACCAGCTCGTTTACCGCCAAAAAGTACACGGCCGTCGCAGAGTTCCGCAACGCCTTTGGCGAGCTGCCCGCCACCCAGATCCCCAAGCTTCCCTTCTACGGTACTATGTCCATCGTCTACACTATACTGGCCGGGTACTGGGGTTTCCGCTACTACCAGCACCGCCACGACATCTGTGGGTTTCCCCTTCTATATGGGACCTCTATCTTCTGTTTCTACGGACCGTTTGTGAGGTAGAGCACTAATCTCGAGACCAGTGGCTGTTCAAAACTACATTACCGCTATTCTCGGTTTCCTTGTTATCGAGATGATCATGACGTGGGGCTTCTTTGGTATGTCCCAACCCTCCCCAAGACTTGATATTATAAGCTAAATGATCGCCTAACACCACATCAAAGAGTATCAAAACCGGCATGGCGCCAATATCGGATCCAAGGTCTTCCTCATCATCGTGGCCGTTCTCAACGCGGCCCGCAATTCCTTCTCCTTCTTCCTGCTGCTTATCGTGTGCATGGGCTACGGAGTTGTCAAACCCACCCTCGGACGCACTATGATCTGGGTTCGTTGGCTCGCAGCAGCCCACTTCGTCTTTGGTCTCATCTATGCCGTCACGAGTCTCCTGGTGTCGCCTGAAAGTGCCGGTAAGTTACACCTTTTCCCCCCTTCTACTCTTTCGTATGCGCGAGGAACCGACAACGCTGACACATAGTCAAAACTCTCAGGACCCTTTGTCCTCTTCATCGTCCTCCCCCTGGCCGGAACCCTTACGGCCTTTTACGTGTGGACGCTCAACTCGCTCAACGCAACGCTCAAGGATCTCCGGGAACGCAAGCAGTGGGTTAAGGAGAGCATGTACCGCAAGCTGTGGTGGGCCATTCTCATCAGCCTCCTTGTCATCTTCGCCTTCTTCTTCTTCAACAGCTTTTCCTTCGCCTCTGTCGGCGACCCAGACTTTGTCCCCTTCCACTGGAAGACACGCTGGTTCGTCCTTGATGGCTGGCTCAACATTGTCTACTTTGCCGACGTCGCCTGGATTGCCTACATCTGGCGCCCCACCATAAACAACCGCCGATTTGCCATGAGTGACGAGATTGCCCAGGACGACGATGGCAACTTTGAAATTGGCGACATCGGCATGCCCGACGACTGGGATGACGAGGAGGCCCAGACTGGAAAGAACAACAACAACAACAACAACAACGACACGAAGCCCGACGGCACCACCGCCGGTGCCACTGTCGTCACCTCGACCCAGGACAGGGCCGGCGCTGCCTCCTCGTCATCCCAGCCTGGCACCGCCGACTACAGGGCTTTCCCTAGGGAATCCATGGAGGGAGAAACGCTTTTCTCCGTCGGCGAGGACGGCGATAGATTTTCCGACGACGGGACTGACGAGGACGACAAGCTGGTCAAGTCAAAATAAAGGCGTGTGCTTCCATGGAAAGGAAAGACATGCATGAAAAAGGGGAGGAAGAAGTGGATACTATGAAGAAAGTGGTGTATGAAGGTAGAGGGAGTGTAATGAATACCAAGTGTAAGGAAGCAAAGTGATGGGAGATGGAAACGGAGCTGTAATGGCGTTTGTTCTTCCTTGTTTTATTATCTTGATATATTGTTTCTCGTTGAATCCATGGTGTTATTCTTGGTTCCTTTGCTCGCGTCTTTGTTTTGTGCATGATGAATATGGGAGTCTGGCTCTTCTTGCTGTTCATTATCACCATGTTCGCTGCGTCTCAATTACTTTCACGAGAGACATGTGAGTAACATTTTGCAATTGCAGAGTTCTAGGCCTGAAGCGAATATACGTGGAATTAGAGAGAGAGAGCTATTTTTGGTACTGTACATCGCCTCCGAAGCCAACGGGCGGTCTAAGACCGTCATTTTCGGGAACAATGGCCAAGACCTTATACAGCTTCCCCATGCCGTCAGGGCCACGGTCGACAAGGCGTCTCCACGACTTGTGTATGTTGTCAACGGTCTCCTTGGGCAGGTTGGGCGCCTTGGCGAGCACCTCTGCGCGCTGGCGGATGCCCATGGCCTCGAGGAAGTAGCTCTGGTCGACGGGGCCGTGGACTTCAACGCCGGGGCTGGCGTCCATGGCGGCCTCGGCGATGGCTGTAAAGTCGACGTCGGCACTGAGATCGATCAAGCCCGGGGCGGAGAAGGGGTTGACACGCCGGTGATGGCGGATGCCGCGGAGGGAGTTGACGGGGACCGTGTCCGAGGTGCCGTAGTCGAGGATCAGGGCGGCGCCGCTAGCTCGGGGTTTGGGCTTCTCGTCAGAGCCACCGATGCGTGTGGCAAAGTCGTTCGCGTACATGGAGGCATCCGGGCAGACCTCAATGACGGAGCCGGGTGTGCTCTTGAGGCTGCGGTAGCGCGGAGACGACTCGGGAACGTACCGGGAGTGGCGAGTCGTCGTCGACGAAAGGATCAGCTGGAACTCGGGAACGGGCTCGCCATGCTCCGACTTGGGAGTTTTGAGGTCCATGTGTGTGACGCCCGGCGGCGTGGGAGACACCATCATCTCACGCCACTCGGTCGAAGACTTGGTCGCGATAGGATAGGGGGGCGACGAGGGTCCTCCGGGAGCCGGTGACTTTTCCGGATCCACCGCGACGGACTCAAAAGCATGGATTGGCAGGGCGTCAAAGAATTCGTGTGCCACAATGAACGGCATATTGTTTGGTTCTAGTTTCAAGTTAGCTTTCAGGCTCCGGACTGGTATTTGGAACAGCATCAAAAGGGGTTTACACACTGGTGGGTATGGGCTTGATAGTCTCGGACCAGATGATGGGCGTTCCGCCGTATTTGCTGGTTCCTTTGAGCCCAAGCTCCGTTTCCGTAAAGGTGGCATTGGGGCCGCATAGAAGCTTCTGCTGAGCCTCTCTCAGCTCGCGGCTGGCCTCAACCATGTAGATGGAATCGATGCTCCTGGCCATGACAGGGAACCTTTGTATAGTCTGCCACAAAACATGTAAGTTCTGGGTTCTCTGCAAAACGTGGATCGGTGTGTACATACACGAAGCACATCGTCCATCAGGGTACCGCGGCCAGGTCCAACCTCGATGACCTGGACACCCGAGGTGGGCTGACCTTGACCGATCCACTCAGCAGTGAACCATATACCAATGAGTTCACCAAAAACCTGTGATATCTCTGGCGATGTGATAAAGTCGCCCCTAGTGCCAAACTGATCGCGGCCCTCGCCAATGGCTCCGGTATAATAGCCACCCAGGTCACCCGTCAGACACATGCGCATGTAGCTGGCCAGTGGCACGGGTCCAGTGAGCTGTCGTATGTGTCAGCAGTAAACTCCCGGATCTATCTTGGGGGTGCAGGCGTTAAAGTACAGATATGGCCTCATAGAGCTGCTTAGCCAACGGGGTTGACCACTGTCTCTCCTCCTGTCTCCGGGGAAGAGTGGAAGAGAAGCTGCGGAAGCAAGGGATGCGGACTGCTGGACGAGCACACCTAGAAGCCAGGGGCCGGAGCGCCCTCGGTGCAGCAGAAACGAATGATCTCATGTTGAGAGTGGCGTAGACATGCCTTCCGGGCTTTTTTGTCCACTGGTCGAAGCGACAACGTCAAGGCGTTCTGACGCAAATGAGCACACTTAGCAGTTTGGACTCGCCGGCACTGTCTGTAGGTTTCCGAGCTCAGTGTACGCGTGCAAGCCAAGGTGTATAGAGGAGAATGGGTAGATTATGAGACTTGGTTCCAGTTGATGTAATCGAAGCCAAATGAGTTGTAATGATGTGTAATATCGGCAACGAGCAGGCCCAGAGAGGCGCGCCTTCCCCAGATGCAAGACCGTGCGAATTTGTCGTCAGTATACCCGGGAGGATCCTCAACCAGGCAAGATTTCTCTCCAGGGACGAGGATTTTCCAGTTACTATATGCAAAAATATGAGAAAATTCTTCTTTTATCTCTATATTTCCAGTTAGTGGTATGCTCTGTATGCATTGGAAGGCAGCTTGATACGAAGATTGTATAAGTATATCCCTGATCTCTTCTCAAGCTCTCACAGTGGACCTTGCCAGACGCGCCCCACTGCCTTTCCCCCATTACGCCAAACTCATATTCAACATCACACGTCGTCCTTCTACCGAGCAACTTCTTTTACCGGAGAGGTCAAGCCATTCGCACGATACAGCCGCGTCGTCCCTCCCGCCCGCCTTCGACAAACGCACACACCCACAAATAATGTCGGCCAAGCCATCAGGGTCCCGCTGGGCCAGCACAGAGGAGGATGCAGCAATCGAGGCCAGAATTAGAAAGGAAAAGGAAGAAAAGCGGCGGCGCAAAGCAGAAAAAGCGCGAAAGCTAGAGGAGCAGAAGCAAGCGGCAGTGGCGGCAGCGGCAGCAGCAAGAGTAAACGGCGACGACGACGACGACGAAGATGGCCGGCCATCGAAGCGACGCAAAATCACACCAGACCCGACAAAGCCTTCCAAGGCCAACGATGACGCGCCAATCAAGCTCCTGCGGTTCGAGGCGGACGGGTGGCACAAGAGCCGCAGCGTGGAGAGGTACGACAAGCTCAACGACATTGAGGAGGGCACGTACGGGTGGGTGGCACGGGCGATAGACACCTCGACGGGCAAGGTGGTGGCGCTGAAGCGGCTCAAGCTCGACCCGGCCGACAGAGGGGGCCTGCCGGTCACGGGGCTGCGCGAGATCCAGATCCTCAGAGACTGCAAGAACCGCAACGTTGTGTCCCTAGAGGAGGTGGTCATGGGTGATGATGAGACGAGACTTGACAGGTTTTTTTCTTGAACCTCCCTCATCCCGCCGAATACAAATAGGAAATACTGATTCGAAACAAACACAGCTCGATATTCCTCGTCCTCGAATTCGTCGAACACGACCTCAAGGGAATCCTCGAAGACATGCCGGAGCCCTTTCTGGCGTCCGAGATCAAGCAACTCCTCCTGCAGCTCACGTCGGGCACGGCATACCTGCACGACCATTGGATCCTGCACCGCGACCTCAAGACGTCGAACCTCCTGCTCAACAATCGCGGGCAGCTCAAGATTGCCGACTTCGGCATGGCGCGGTACGTGGGCGATCCGGGCCCGTCGAGGCTGACGTCGCTGGTGGTGACGTTGTGGTACCGCAGCCCGGAGCTCCTGCTGGGGGCGTTGACATACGGCGCCGCCGTTGACATGTGGAGCGTGGGCTGCATTTTTGGCGAACTCCTCACGCGGGAGCCCCTCCTCCAGGGCCGTAACGAGGTTGACCAGATGACGCGCATCTTTGAGCTGTGCGGCGTGCCTACTGACCAGTCCTGGCCCGGTTTCCGCCGCCTGCCCAACGCCCAGTCCCTCCGCCTGCCCAAGTCGCCCTCGGCCAACACGACGGGCTCCGTCATCCGCGCCCGCTTCCCCGGCCTCACCGCCGCGGGGGCCTCCTTGCTGGCAGACCTGCTCTCACTCAACCCGGACCGTCGCCCCTCGGCCGCCGACATGCTCCGCCACGAGTACTTTCGTCAGGATCCTAAGCCGAAACCAGAGTCCATGTTCCCTACCTTCCCAAGCAAGGCCGGGCAGGAGAGGCGTCGTCGCCACGAGCCCAATGCCCCCGTACGCGGCGAGGCAGCCGTTTCACTAGACGATGCGGACTTCACTGGAATATTTCAGGGTCGCGATAAGGAGGAGAAGGGGGCGGGATTCTCTCTACGTATGGTGTGATTTACAACAACCTGTATTAGATATCTTTTTTATTTTTTTAGTTTACTCGACAAGGGAGCATGGCGCACATGGATGGGGCGGGAAATGGACAGACTAGGATGCATTTTCCCATATTATAGACCAGAAAGGACACTTGTGTTTGTTTCTACAAATCTGCATTATGAAAATTTGGCCAGCTCATTATAATCCACCCGTATTTTTCGTTTTGTATGTATGTTCTTATCACCCGCTTTATAACCCAACGCGCCCGAAAAAGAAAAAAGAAAAGTAACGAAAACGCCAGTAGAGAGAACAGGATGGGTGTTGAAGATGGCAGCATGGGATGCTGAGAAAACACACAGGCATATGAAAAGACGCAACATATTAGGTTGCAAAGCAACAAGGAGAAAAAAAGGAAACCAGGATTTAATGAATCCCCCACCCAGTGACAAAGTAGGTGAAGGTGATGATCGTGATGGCGCTCATGGTGACGGCGAGGTGGACGACCTGCGAGCTGAAGAGGCTGGCGGCACCGCTGCAGCCGCTGCACTCCCAGTCAGCGTAGGGGGTGTAGGCTTGCGGGTGGTAGAGGCCAAAGGTGAACTGGGCGTTGGCGGCAAGCTTGCCGGCCTCCGGGGAGTCGCTGATGTCGGCGTCCGAGTTCTTGATGATGAGGGTGTACAGCTCTGTGAGGAGCGGGGTCTCGACGTTGTCGGCCTGGTCCTCCGAGTTCCAGGTGTAGGAGACGTCCGTTTCGAAGGTCATGTTTGAGGTCAGGGTCCAGGTCTCCGAGGCGGTGGAGCAGCTGATGAGCACGTCGATGGCGGTGGGTTTCTCGATGATGCCGGTGTAGTTCCACCCTAGGGTGATATTGTCGCCGATCTTGAAGAGGGGCGTGGCCATCTGCGTCGTAGCCGGCTCCGTTATGCTAACGCCCCCCGCTATGGCCGTGGCCGGGATGCTCACGCTCGATGTCTTGGTCGTCTTCTTGCCCTTGCTGGTTTTGTCGTCGTCGTTGTTGTCGTCGTCGTTGGCCGTCTTGGTAGAGGTCGGTTCCGCCGTGTTGAGGTCCCCGTCATCCGTCTTCTTGGCAGATGTCGGCTCGGCTGTGTTGAGGTCCCCGTCATCTGTCTTGGTAGCCTTGGCTGCTGTTGCCGTGGCTGTTGCTCCCGTCTCGGCGGCTATATTTTGGATATACATCATGTCAGTCATCTCTCTCTCTCCCTCTTTCTCTTGGGATGGGGGGATATGCTTACCTGTGTCTGCATTATCATCGGCCCGGACAATCAGTGTGTCAACATTAGGTAGCCATCCCGGCCATGCCGATGCCAGAGGAGCCAAAGAGGTCAGGCATACGGCCAGACGAAGGAGAGGTGTCGTGCGCATCTTGACAGTCTTTTTTTCTTCTCTTTACAATCCTCTTTGGTCTGTCGAGGAGGTTCGTCCAACGAACACCTAGGACGTTTGAAAGCGAGTGAGAGCCCCCGGAACGAACTCTGATGGATGCGCGTCGTTGTCGTTGTCTTCGATCGGAAGAGAGTGAAGAAGAGAGGTTGTAGTGCAAGAAACAAAGAATATCCCCGACAAATTAACAGTATTATATGAACAACAAGCGAGTGTCGAAGAAAAGAAACAAAACAAGATGCAGTGTATTATTGAAGAGGAGGTAGAGAGAAGAAAAGAAGAAAAGAGAAGTCTGGCTTTTTTGGTAGGTGGGAAAAGGGTGTAACAGGGGGGGATGGGTCCGATAGTTGGGGGGGGGGGGACATACTGTACAGCCCGTATTTATGGCATAGGAAAGTTTCAGACAATGGGGCGCGTTGGCAGGTTGCATAAGGCTTGCCTACAGCGTACGAGGTGGCATTCTCTCTCTCTCTGCCTCCATCTCTCTCCTCTTTTCTTTCTATTTTTCTCAACGGGTGCTCCTATTCAATGATAATTACGATAATGACAACGTATTACCTCGTACAGCGTACGGCAATGCTCATCTCACAACAATACTCGTACACAAGCTAGATGCTGAAAACAATAAACAGTGGCACTCTCTACCAGTACAAGTGCAGGCGTAGCTCAGATCTTGGCAATCGGGTTCGGTCATTGGTCAACTGGTCAGGCTCGCTAGGCTCGCCAAAAATACGAACCCTTGTCATGAAAGAGGTTTAGCGTCTTAGGTAAAAGTAGGGGAATACGATGATGGATCGTCCTAGATCCTTTCCTGGACCTTCTTGGTGACTCTTGGGAGACCTGCTCCGTGTAACCCATCTCGCATCTCGCTAGAATAGGGGGGCTCATGTGCTGAAGTAGCAATAGATACAATATAGCTGACATCTCCTTTTGCATTACAAAGCATCATCTGAATATGTGTTAACATCGTATCAACTAGTATGGACATGTATTAGTACTGTACGTATTATTATTAGTGTCTTCGCTTGTTGCTGTCGTGACAAGTCGCTGGAATTTTCCCTGTCCTCGCTGCACGTGATCTCGTGTTGGAAATTCCAACGAGCTAAAAATATCTTTCCCCTTGTGGTCTGATCCGACCCTCTCTCTCCACTTCCACCTGCAGCTCGGATAGTCGCATACGACTAGATAGTAGTACTCCTACATGCTTGTGATGCTACTGTAATAGTTATGCTCATACAATACACACGAAAATACAAGTACGCTTTCAGTCCTGCCCAAAAACACGTAAACATCGGGTTGGACACCACTGATAGTAGTACTACTACCAATCTCGTAATGCGAGCAGCAATAACATCTTGTTCCCATTCAACGCGAACAAAGAAAAACGAACAAACAAACAAAAATTCCCATATGCATAAGAACTGACGCCAATTTCTCAACCTCCCAAAGGAATTGAAGGGAAAAAAGAACAGCGGGCACTCGAGGAAGAATAAACAACTGAGAAGAGAAGGGGGAGTCCATTGCTTTAGTGTGCCGGCTTCGTCACCGACTGAAGATAGTCCAGCAGGAACATCTGGTCAGCAGGCGAGATGGGCGTCTGTCTCCCTGTCCTGCCTGATAGACCAGACAACCGACCGGTATCAGCACCAGCATCCTGGTGCGGGTTTCCAAAGAGAGACAGGAGATGGCGCTTATCGTCTTGTGGCGTCGCCCTGTCACCTCCGCGCCGCTGAGAGCCTGACGGCGATGACCGAGAGCCGATGCCCATCGGCGCCGGTACCTGCTGCGGCATATAGTTGCCGTAGTTGCCATAGTTGCCGCTAGAGTAAGGGGACCGAGACGGTATTCTGTTGGGTAGGCCGTCGCCGACGTCTGTCTGGTCTCGTTGAAGAATACGCACCGGACCAGGTTGCATGCTTCCGCTGGGCTGCCTAGGTCCCATGGGCGCTGCTCGCTGGAGGGCAGCTGTTGGCTGCTCCGCTCGACCTTGCCCGGCAAACGAGTCGAGGTGTGCTGCGATGGCACCTGAAGGCTGAGGTACTAGTCGCTGCTGCGGCCCTCCACGAAGAGTGTCGAGAAGGACCTTTTCGCTCCCAGGTCCGCTTCCGTACGACTGTGGCTGTCCCTGGCGGGGGGACGCGTGCATCCCTTGGGGTGACATGGTGACAGAGCTTCCAGGTTTGAACATTTCAAGCAGATTGGACTTGTGGCTGCCGTCGGGTGAGTTGATTGATGGCATGCTGCCCATAGGTGACCTGTGTTGCTGCATCATGGAGCCCGCCAGCTCTGTCGGGCGGAGCTGGCTCTGCTGGGCGGGAGAAGGTCCGGAGAGTGGAATAGGAACCGGGCCAGTAGCAGCTGGGGCGGACGGCTGCTGAGGGTATTGTGGGAACTGCTGGGCAAAGGCATCCTGTGCAACAGGCCTAGGCGCCTCGTGGGCTTGTGCCGATGGGGAGTCTCTCTTGAACGCGTCGAGGAGAGCCAATGACGGTCCGCTGAGAGGGCCCTTCTGTCTTCCGCCGGGTGACATGCCGGCCTGTGGAGATTGAGGATGGCCATATCCGGCATGAGCCTGCTCCCGCGGCTGAACATAGGCGTTGTTGTTATGTGGCGGCGGGGGCGGCGGGGCCGGAGCCGCAAAGCTCTCTTGGAAAGTGCTCTTGTTCAGGACGGAGCGTTGGACCTGAGGCGGCAGAGGCTGCGTATGAACAAGTGGTATGGCCTGTGGTGGGGCATCGAACCCCTGGTGGGGTGGCGGCGGAGGCACCGGGTGAACGTGGGGGAGAGGGAAATGAAGCGGTGGTTGGGTGACACGGTCAGGGTGGTGTAGATTGTTGGTATTGTGGTGAGGGTTGGGAGGTTGCGCCATGTCCCCGGGATCCATCTCAAGAGGAGTATGAGGGTACATGTTGGGGTTATGTTGCTGCTGCTGCTGCTGCGCAGGAGGCGGCGGCGGCGCACTATTGTCAACTTTGAGCATGGAGAGAAGGGCACTGGCCTTGTCCTCCTGCGTGGTACGAGGTTGGACCGCCTGCGCCATGACGGGCTGGGGTTGGAGCTTGAGGAGGCGCTGAAGCTCGCTGGTGGCGCCTTCGAGCGTGTCCATGGCGGGCGCGGCGGGCGCGGCTGTTGTCTGAGCCCAGGCGTCGTCCTCGATGGGCGCCTCATCGAGCGGGTGGTGCGGGTATAGGTTGGCATTGGCAGGCACAGGCGTCTTCTTTGTGGCGTTCTTCTTCTGGCTATTGACCCACTTCTTGAGAGGAACGAGAAATGGTGCGACCATGTAGAACTTGTTGGCGTTGTTGCCGACGTCGGCCTGGGTCTGGTTCTGGCCCTTCTTACGAAAAGCAGGCAGCTCTGATAGCTTGTACCACTCAATCTTGCTGATCTCTTTCCTGGTCTGGGGCTCGAAGTCTGTATCCATGGGGACGTCGCGGAAGACGTATAGCCGCATCTGCTGTTCCCTCATGGTGATTTCAATGTATTTCGGCTTGCCCTCGGGGACGAGGCCGGCGGCACGAAGGTCGAGTCCAGTCTCCTCCCAGACCTCTCGGATGGCGCAGTCCAGGTCGTCTTCATCCTTGTTGATCTTGCCTCGGGGAAAACTCCAGTTGGCGCCCTTCTTCCAGCCTTTGACGAGGACGGTCGAGTCCATGTCGTGATTAAGCATTATGGCACCCCGCACAGGTACGCGCGTCTTGTACTGCAAAAATTCTTCGAACGCACGTGTGTGGTTCTCGACCGAGAAGGACGCCAGAAGCGGGCAGTGCTGAAATATCCGTAGGCAAAAGGTTCGGAGGCTCATCGAGGGAAGGCTCGGGTCCAACGGACGAATAAAATCTTCATAGAACCATTGTGCCTCCTCGACCTGAAAGCATATTCTGGCGACAGAGGACAAATCCTCTTCGGGAAGGTTGATGATGAAACGGACACAGAGGTCGTCCAGCCCTGAAAACATCTACATGTTAGCATGTCGTGGCCACTCTTTTCTTCTTTCTCTAAGGTGAAGGAGGGGTTGTATATGTACAATCCTCTAGTTGCATTTGTTTGTCTGCCATCATGTGGCATGCTCCGAAAGCGAGACGGGATAAAAAAAGCCGATATTCTTTCAAGGAGAGTAAACGGATTATAACTTTCACGATGCAGTCGAATGATATTTGGCGCGAATTCGGAAAGGGATACTGGACATGGTTGTGATTCGAGGGAGCCTTAGGAGAGAAAGGTTGCTTCGGGCCTGTTGCGACGTGACCGCAAAAAAAAAAAAGTGACGCCCCAGCTTCAAACTTGAGGGATTCAAGCAGAAGCGGGCGGGCGGGCAGAGGTAGTAAAAGCAGATGGAAGCCTGAACAAATGATCGGTACAGTAGGCAGCGATATTTGGAGGGGGGCCTAACTGATTTTGCCGGACTGCCTCTGTTAGGTGACGATGTGTAGCGGTTGAATATCCTGTTTGCGACCCAACTCTGTCAGCAAGTATCAGAGCCGCTTTTGAGGCACAGTGCGTATTTCACACGTGGCGCAGCCAGCCGTCATCCGCTGTTACTTATTAGAGCGGTGTAAGTCGTGTCATGAATACCGTGCGTATACTGCATGTGATCTATACTGTGCAGAACATGTCCGGACGCGGGAGCTTCAGCCACATCCAACAACTTCAAGCCACGCCTTTTGGTTCTCGCCATTGTGGCTATGCCACGCAGCACCGCCACATTTACCCCAACGAAAGAGAGAAATGTGGCTCATTGTAATCTGTAATCTGTATTTTCCGTCGTATTATATCGCTCCATAAAAGAGTTGCAGCTGCAGCTGTATATCGAAGATACCCGGCAAAGCTGAATGGTGCATGGGTTGTATTACATCATTGGCGGCATGCTTCAAGGGACGGGCCCCATCAACACAAGCGCCAAAACAACAAATCATCATACATATACGAGAGTTGTGACGGCATTGGATTTTTGCCCCCCCAAGCCCCCCTTCCAATCAACAAGAAGACGGGATCTGGCTCATCCAGTACTACAACCAGAAAAACAGTTCCCTCTTTATTCCTCTCCTTTTCATTGCAACCCCTTCCTTTGTCATGCACTCGTGAAGCGCGTTCTGAAACGCCGCGAAGATCAATCGTCCCTTTGTTGCCAGTCATCTCGGGAGGCCGCCTAAAAAAGAAAGTTGGTTCTTAAGGACCTGCCTGCCTCTGCACTTTCCACTACGCAGACTGAGTAGCATCTGACACTACTACGACACGCGCACACGCATTCCACAGACGTTAGTTTTCGTCAAACGACTGCAGCGCAATCATGACTTCGTTTGTATCCAAGCTCGTGCTCAAGAAGATTCTCGGAGAATCGCGTCAGAACAAATATGGTCAAGAGGTAAGCCTTCGGTCACATGACAGATATACACCCGCATACACCGCAGACCAACTTGCTCACAAGACGACGGCAGGATCCCTACTTCGAGACAGTGCCAGCCTCCAGGCTGAAAGGTCGACCGAGCAAGAAGACAAAGCGACGCAAGAAGGCCCTACCACCTGGAATCTCGGACCACGACGGCCATGTCCTGACCAAGGTCAAGAGACGAGCCTACCGTCTAGACATGGCTCTGTTCGAATTTGCCGGTATCAGGTTTGGCTGGGGTAGTGTTATCGGATTGGTTCCAGCGTAAGTCTTCTTCCTCTATCAAAACCGTGAAACTGGGTAGAACCATGAACGTGCTGACAGTTTGCAGTGTCGGCGACGTCTTTGACACGCTACTGGCCCTTATGGTGCTCAGGACGTGCATGCAGATTGAGGGCGGTCTTCCCTCAGGCCTCAGAATCAGGATGATGATGAACATCATTTTCGACTTTGTCATCGGCCTTGTTCCCTTTGTGGGCGACCTCATAGACGCTGGGTTCCGAGCCAACACGCGCAACGCCATCCTTCTCGAGTCGCACCTTCGCGAGGAAGGAGTGAAGAACCTCAAGAAGGCCGGGCAGCCCATCCCCGCCACGGATCCGAGCGACCCGGCTGAATACGACCGAACACGCGGTGACGCCTCTCCACCCGGGTACAGCTCGCAGGCACCCTCCCGTCAGTCGTCGAGGAGGTCGCAACAGCCGACCGAGCCTCCTCGCGCCGAGGTGCGCGAGGGCAGCGGCCGGAAGAAGTCACGTGTTCCAGATCTTGAGATGGGGCAGTCAGAGGAGAATACTGGACGTTCAAGCAGGCGCAATGGACGCTTCTGAGTGCGCTTAGGCTACAATATCTGCCCTTCTCTCACTGTTCATGTCAAGGGAGGGTCATTAGAGGGCCATTGGATTGGACTGTTACGGTCTTCAACCTAAGACCAGGTGGAGGGTTGACAGGACGACCCTAAATTACCACTCTCCTCTTCTGCTAGACCAAAGAAAAAGACGATGGGAAGAAAGGAGTCGGTACTGAAGACGGCGGTTTTTTGTTTTCTTCTTTCAGGTTATTCGAACGATAATACCCAATATCGGATTCATGTCTCGCGTGGCAGTGGAAATAAAAGAGAGGAGGTACAGGGAGAGACAAAGCAAAAGAAAGAAGTACATGTAAAGCACGTACATGACGTTACGGATATAAACGGCATCATAGGACAACGATATGAATACTAGTCTAGCGAATCTTGAGAAATGATACCACAATAAATCACACTAGTCTGAGGGGTAATTATATATCCGAGCTACACGTACATCTGTGACGACGATTGTCGGCCGTGCTATACATAAAGTCACTACAGTACAGATTACTATGAGCAACGCGAAGTACTACGAGTACTAACTAGTATTAATCATTACGTGATGATGACATTGTGTGAGACCCAAGGATCCCCAGAGTCGACAGATGTGCAAAACGCGTGTCTACGACGTATGAAGCGAAAGTGGCGTCGAAACGGGTTAAATTGGATGGAGTGTAATTCAGAGGCCACGGCAATAGCTGGTATGGCAACGCAGTACCAGAGCAAGGATGTTGAAACCGGTAGGCAACAAGAAGAAGGACCAACCAGGGCTCCAGATAATAATAACGCGACGTGAATCTACTCGGTATTTTACACACTCGAGTACATGTAATCTGTAGTAATAACGACTCTAAAAGTGTACATGTAAATAACGACCTGCTGGAACCGCGTCTTGCCACTCGCACATCTCCGACCACGGCTTGCTCGGCGGTACGAAGTATGTGCCAAAGGGCCGAGAGACAGCGATGATGAGGATCAGCCCACCCAGGGTCGGAGGCTATCGTTAGAGCATTGGGGGTCAAATGAGTTTAGGACAAGACGCGAAGCAATGTTTGGTGCGGATCATTGATCGAAGACTGCTGATTGATAACACGGACCATATTTCGATTGTATACATGTATGTACCACGATACCTAGCAGTAATAATACAGTAATACTATGACATCCTAGCCGTATATATACTCTGCAATACGTCGTATGGACAACCTGTAACAAGTATGTGTACAGCTCTGGTATTACTCCGTACTCGTAGAAGATGATGATGGCGTGTGGATACTCAAGACTAGACAACATCAAGGTCCAGTCAGAGTCTTGAAGGGCCGAGTTCACGGGGTAACAGGCTGGTAACAGGATGGCTGTAGCTCAGCCCACGGCGGGGCAATATCAGGTACGAGACCAGGGAAAACGCGTGAATTTGACGCGTCTTTTGCCTATCACGAGAGGTGGCTGGGGGTAGGAAAGTTATATCATTTTATTTACGAGTACTTCGTCACTAACAGGACTGCAGAGGACTGCAGAGTACCTACCCACCTAGTCACAGTGATGTATTACAATAGTAGTGCGATGTACAGATTACTCGTGCACGGCTCCCTCAGCATCCCTCCGGCACTGACACCAGCCCGTAGAGTCGTAGTGGGACTCTAGTGGTTCCCAAGCCCTGCATCCTTGGCACGCAGGTACCCACCCATTAGCTCATTGACTCGCATTATTGGCCACTGGCCCTTACCCATTAAACACGATCCTGACGCGTCGCCAACACGTGACGGTCCCTCGCTCTCTATACAAAAACCTACACTTTTGCTTCACTCTTCGACCTCTTCTCCATTCTAGCCCATCAACTTTTCTACACCGCAACAACACTCTTCCTCTACTGCTTCCTCTCGAGTGATTTGACGCGTTTTCTGCCTTTACTTCTCGCTATATACCCCTCCATTGCATTCTCTTATTTCGTACACGCACCGCATACACACATACACCATGACTGCCAACATCACCCCCTCCAAGCAGGTACGTGCTCATTTCCTCTCTACTCTCCCCTCCGTTGCATCAACCAACTAACGCATCATTTTCTCCAATCTAGGCCGCTGCCGCCATTGACTCTTTCAAGATCGAGTCTCCCGCCAAGAAGCTCAGCTTCAGCCCGGCCGACAAGGAGAACCAGCATCTGGATGAGGACTCCCTCGCCAACCTCGCTGAGCAGATGGACAACCAGAAGCGTGTCGAAGTGGCCAAAGTCGACGAGACCAAGAAAGTTGATGAGACCAAGAAAGTCGAGAAGGAGGAGTCCGCTGTCGCTGTCGCCCCCGGCATCAAGCCCGAGGAGTCTGATGAGCCCCTCCTACAGGACAACCCCCAACGCTTCGTCCTGTTCCCCATCAAGTACCACGAGGTATGTGACGCGTAAATTTGACGCGTAGATTGCTTTTTCTACGCGTCTTGGGAGCCATGGCAACCGACCTTGTACACCACCCCAGAGAGTACATGGTCAATGCATACCACATAACACTCGGACTAACAACCTTGATCAGATCTGGCAGATGTACAAGAAGGCCGAGGCCTCTTTCTGGACCGCCGAGGAGATTGACCTGTCCAAGGACCTCCACGACTGGAACAACCGCATCAATGATGACGAGAAGTTCTTCATCTCTCACATCCTTGCCTTCTTCGCTGCCTCTGATGGCATTGTCAACGAGAACCTCGTTGAGCGTTTCAGTGGCGAGGTCCAGATCCCCGAGGCCCGCTGCTTCTACGGTTTCCAGATCATGATGGAGAACATTCACTCGGAAACCTACTCTCTCCTCATCGATACCTACATCAAGGAACCCTCCCAGCGCACATACCTCTTCAACGCCATTGAGACCATCCCTTGCATCCGCAAGAAGGCCGACTGGGCTATCAGGTGGATCCAGGACCGCAACTCTACCTTTGCCCAGCGTCTTGTCGCCTTTGCTGCTGTCGAGGGCATCTTCTTCAGCGGGGCCTTTGCTTCCATCTTCTGGCTCAAGAAGCGTGGTCTGATGCCAGGTCTGACCTTCTCTAACGAGCTCATCTCGCGTGACGAGGGTCTCCACACCGACTTTGCCTGCCTGCTGCACTCGCACCTCAAGCACCGCGCCAGCAAGCAGATCATCCACGAAATCATCACCGATGCCGTCGCCATTGAGAAGGAGTTCCTCACAGAAGCTCTGCCCTGTGCCCTGCTCGGCATGAATGCCTCCCTGATGCAGCAGTACATTGAGTTTGTCGCAGACCGTCTACTGGTCGCCCTCGGCAACGACAAGGTCTACAACTCGACCAACCCCTTCGACTTCATGGAGAACATCTCCCTGGGTGGCAAGACCAACTTCTTCGAGAAGCGTGTTGCTGACTACCAGAAGGCCGGTGTCATGAACTCTGCCGCCAAGAAGGAGGAGGAGGCCACAGAGAATATGGAGGGCGACTTCGTTTTTGATGCCGACTTCTAAGCATGCAACCAAAGATGCCTCCCCCTCTCCCCTCGCACAACACACACATCCTCCTCCTTCATGGCGTATATAAACCCCTCTCTTCATTTTTTATCTTTACTCGGCCTTGTTGATACACAACCAACAATCAACAACCAAGGCCAGACTGTTTGATTCATTTCGGGCCAGATTTTAATATCCTCTGTCCTCCATTCAGTCTTAATACGAATGATGGGACCCTTGGCACATGGTTTTTTTTTTTTACAACTGGCGTTTTGGGGCGCACTTTTTCATGTAAACAGTTTCTCACAAGGTCTTTGTGGATGGCAGGAAGAAATAAGGAACGTTGGCAACGGCAATGGAATAATGAAATGTACTTTGTATCAAAATAAGTAGAAAAACCAATTCTTTTCATATCGCAAGTTTCGTGTCAAATGAGCTGATTTGTGCTCGATACAGCTTAGATGTTAGGGCCGTCAACCATGTATGCAAGCAGAGCGACATCATAGTCCAACGTCTAACACAGAGGCATGCTTGTTTTATCGTTTCAATGGTTCATCTTGTTTCCTTGTCTCTCATTTGCCATTTCAACTCCTGTCCGCGGTTGTTTATTTCCTCCCCTTCTTCTTCTTACCACCACCCTGTGCAGGTTTCCCACCACCAGTCGCAGACCCAGCAGTGGCGGCGGGAGCGGTAGCAACGGCAGCAGCATCAGCAACAGCCTCCTGCGCCGACGGCGCATCCGTCATGGTCTCATCAACGGGCGGCAGGGCAGCCATGCTCCTACCCAGGCTGCCGAGGCAAGACTGTATGAGGCGGGACACCTCAGCAGCTTTGTTGGTGCGGTATTTCAGCACCACGCCTCCTGCCGGGTCGTACGTCTTCAGGACCAGGCTGCCGCGTGGTGGCTTTGCTGCTGCTGTCTGATCTGTCGATGAGTCTCGGTCGCTACTGCGAGGTTTGACAGGCTTGATAGAGTAGCGAGTTGTTATGCGAGTCTACCAAACGGACGGCGGACAGTCTGGATCAGCATGATGGATAGAAAGAGCGCGAGATAGAGGTGGGTGAGTGTCATACGGTTGATGGTCTGGCTTCGAGTAGAAGTTTTGACTGGTCGAGCCATTCTTGGGATGTTTTGAAATAAGGCATGTTTGCGACACGCCCGGCTCGTTGGTGCGGGTACGATGTGATCGAGTGTCTTATCGCAGGCTTTTATATCCACGGGTATATTTGGAGCGTCCAGGGTAGGGGAAGGGGAGACTAGAGGTGTGTGTGTGTGTGTCAAGGTCGGTTCGTGTGACGTTGAGGTTGAGAATCGGTGATCGGTCTGGTAGGCAGATGCTCATGTGTGGTTTTATTTTTTTGGTGGGGCTCTTTTTCAACCTGGAGGAGGGGCTGCTGCTGCTGCTGCTGCTTACAGTGAACACGAAGTATATCAATATCACGAGTTTTTAGATCTTTATACGCACATAGAGCACAAAAGTGAGGAGGTGGTGATTTATCTGATTACCATAAAGGATTTAACAATTGTACGTCTTTTTTCTCCCCTCCCCCCCCCTATGCAAACGTTATCTCTCCTCCTGCTTCTCGCTGGATTTCGATATCTCCAATATCTAGCTATGCGGATCAGGTAGCCAAAATGCAAGCTCCTGATCGGCCGTAGCAAAGAAGTTGTACCTAGGATTGAAAGCCACGACGGCGGCATTGTTCTTATCGTTGAGGGTATACGTAGGTTCGAGCATCTTGTGTTCGTTCGGGGTGGCCCTGACATCCCAGACGAGCACGTCTCTGGACGCGCCGCTGATGACAAAGCGTCCGTCCGGTGTGAAACAGCAGTCGCCGCTGCTGTCGATTGCGACCGAGGTTGGGGTCGAATCGCCGGGGGCCGGTCTGATAGTCCCGGCAACGGCGCCCGCTGACTTGCGCAGGTAGGCCTTCAGGGAGCCGTCAAAAGCGTCGAGAAGGAAGTGGCCGTTCCCGTTGGTCCCCAGGAGGAGGGAGTTACCGTCGTTGGAGAAGTCGAGCTTCGTCCAGCCGCGTACGAGGTTGGCCGCGTCGATGGACCGCACCTGCTCGATCACGTCAACGGTGGCGAAGGGCGCCCTGTCGAAGTTGCGCGCGTCGTACAGGAGCACGGTGCCGGCACTGGGGCAGGCCACGGCGAAGACGGTGCCCGACGGGTCGTGCGCGGCCAGCGTCGGCGATCGCAGGTTCAGCTGACCTTGCCAGTTCTTAGTCTGCGTGTCCCATATACGCACCGTGTTGTCCTGCGAGCACGATATGAAGCTGTCGTTGCCTGGGTGGACCGCTAGGCACGTTACCGTACCCTCGTGCCCTTCAAAGTAGCGTATGAAGGAGTTGTCATGTGTTGCGAGGTATCGTATGGCATCTTTTTTTAGGGACAGAGTGGTCAGCGTGTTATCTCCCTCCCTCTCTCTCTCTCTATATATATATATATATATTTGTGCATATTGGAATTGTGTATTAACCATTTTGCTTTGTGCTCGCGTAGATGATGCTGGAGCTGGTGTGGGTGAACTTGGCGAGCTTGACACCGTATTTCTTGCTCAGGAGACTCTTCTCGTGACGGCCCTCCTTGACATTGTATATCTGTATCGTCTCGTCGCTGGCTGCCGTCATGACCAGGTCGCCGTCATCGTTATAGTCGATGGATTGGACGTGTGGTTGCGCGCGGTCATCCTTGATGTCGTCGCGCCGAAACAACTGGACGCGAGAGCTGTGTTAGAGCTGTTCTGTCTTCTTCTCCTTCTTTTTTCCAGAGCTATTCTCTCTCTCGAACTCTCTCTCCGTGGACAAGTTACCTTGGTCGGTCGAAATGTAGAGATTATGTCGGTTATGGGCGTGGTAGTCGTGGCACCGGCACCCAGTGTCCTGTGGATGTTGAGGGAGGGTGTGAAGGTGGCGCTGGTACCGGCCGCAGCTGGGCGATCAAGGTCCATTGGCGTCGAGGACATTTTTGTGAGGCCGCCAGCGCAGGCGCGCGGCAAGCGAGAGTTGGCGGAGGAAAGGCTGAGGAGAGAAGGCTGAGAAGGGCCGGGCAGCAGGACGCGCTGCACGCGGCTGTCTAGACTGGGCAAGCTCAGGAGAGGGGCGGCGTCTCGTATTTGGTATGGTAGGGGATGATGTATGGTACGGGGTGTAACAGTTCGTGTTCGTATACAGGGTAGAGAGCAGCCGATATGATCAGGGTAGCATTGAATCTAGTACGATCAAGGTCGCATATGATGCGACATGGTGGAGGGGCATTGCAATTCAGGTAGATCACGGCAAAGTAGATCAGCTTACCCGGGAGTCGTCCGTTGAGAAATTCGAAAGTACGGAGTATATTGATGGCATATAGTAGTAATATTTAATATGAACATACAGATTACACGGTAGTGGCCCTAGACCCTAGAGCATAGTCAAGAGCCTGGTATTGCACTGTTTTCTCTTACAGATGGTTTATTAACATCATATAACATGGACATTCACAAGAGATGTTACATTCACATCAAGCGGGATGATAGTAAAACAAAAGAAATATTCCAAGACAATAACGGACTACAGTAGGATGACCTTTGGACAATGGAGAGATACTCCCAAAGGGCCGAAAGAAAGTGGACCGAGTCCAACCAATCCTGTGGATCCAATTCGTGTTTTTTTTTCTTTTTTTTTTTTCACGTCCGACTTCGGGCTGAGAAACGTTGCGCTGCTAAAGTGTTTCGTCTCGTCTTGCTTCACCCTTTTTTCTTCTCATTCTACCTGCTTGTACTGTTACTACTATATTTTCCCTATTATTTCACTATCGAGCTATTCCCGGTTCGGACATAGATATATTTCCTCTCTCCCTCTGTCTCTGCCCTTTCCCTTTCTTCTCTTGTTGATTCATATCGTATAGTACTGAACCATCGTCTCCGTACGTCCTGTTCCGCGTCATTTTAACAATCCCCCACTGACCTGGTAGCTTGCTGACCAAACCCACTATCCAGGTGTGTGCGTGTGCCGTGGATCGATCGGGGGAGTCTCTGTCGGAGAAAGGGCGACGTCGACACCTTTCGTTGCTAAACCTCCCTCTCTTCCGGCTTTGGCGACGACTACAGGCCGATCCCGACCAAATATTTCAAACAGACAAATAATACAAGAAAGCGAGGGGTGTAATGGCGACTACATTGGGGTACGAGGCGTCCTCCTCTCTCCCTTTGGCAACATGCCGAAATTGACGAATGATGCATGAACAGCGCCTTCATCGGCGGCGGCCTCGCTGCGTGTGGTGCCGTCACGGCCACGCATCCCTTCGAGACGGTTAAGATCCGGTAAGAGCTCCTCATCCCTCACCATCTTTGTGCCTGACCGCATTCCCCCCGGCTGACTTCCCTCCCCACACCTGCAGCATGCAGTTGCAAGGCGAGCTCCAGCTCAAGGGCAACCAACCGTTGCATTACCGTGGCCCTCTGCACGGGGTGGGCGTGATCCTCCGACACGAGGGCGTGCGCGCCATCTACCGCGGCCTCGGCTGCGCCTACGTCTATCAGATGGTGCTGAACGGGTGCCGGCTGGGCTTCTACGAGCCGATGCGCGGCCGCATGTCTCGCCTCTTCTACGGCACGGAGAAGGTGCAGAGCCTGCCCATCAACATGTTCTGCGGCGCGGGGTCGGGTATCATCGGCGCGGCCGCCGGGTCGCCCTTCTTCCTCGTCAAGACGCGCCTGCAGAGCTTCTCGGCCTCGCTGCCCGTCGGCACTCAGCACCAGTACCGCAATGCCGTCGACGGCCTCTTGCAGATCTATCGCGGTGAGGGCATCCGCGGCCTGTACCGCGGTGTTGGCGCCGCCATGATCCGCACCGGCTTTGGCTCCTCCGTCCAGCTGCCCACCTACTTCTTCGCCAAGAGGCGCCTCATGCGCCACGCCGGTATGGAGGAAGGTCCCGCCCTCCACCTCTCCAGCAGCGCCATCAGCGGCTTCGTCGTCTGCTGCTTCATGCACCCCCCCGACACCATCATGTCCCGCATGTACAACCAGACCGGTAACCTGTACAAGGGCGTCTTCGACTGCTTCGCCAAGACGATCCGCACCGAGGGCGTCCTCGCTATTTACAAGGGCTTCCTGCCTCACCTCGCCCGCATCCTCCCCCACACCGTCCTCACACTCTCCCTAGCCGAGCAGACCAACAAGCTTATGCGCAAGGTCGAGAGCTTGGTTCTCTAAATATTCCTCCATTTGTTCTTTGAACCCTCCCCCCAAATCTACCCTTACCATTGGGATGGGAATCTTACAACTTAAAAAAAAAAATGTATATAACAATGCTTTTTTCTTCTCCTCTGTCTTTAATTTGGAAAGGAACGAAGGCACAAGAATAGAAATGAGAGGTGCAAAGTGCAAAAAGGAAAAAGGGAATAAAAAGTTGACGAAGTGGGTAACGTCTTGTATATTCATCAGGGTATTCTTGAAGCATCTTCTTTTTATCTTATTCGTCATTCGTGATTATCCTTTTTGTGTTGGATGCATCATCAGATAGAGAGAGAGCAGAGGCTGCTGTGCTCTATGCACACTGTTCTATGATCTACATCCTCAGCACCCGTAAACAGACCTCTTGCACCCATAGCACAGACGATTCGGATGACTCTCTTCGTCCGCGCCAGTAGTTCCCATCTCGCCGGCCCATCGCGAGTCACCGTGCTGATCGAGCGTGACGCTACACAACCCGCACAGCGTCTGTCCGCGCACCCTGTCAAGTTTGCCGGTGGTACGTACGACGTTGGCTACGATGCCCGAGTAGGGTTCCTCGACGGACTCAAAGTACCGCCTCATGACGTCGTCGATACTCGTATCTTTGTGGGAGACAACGGCAGAGGAAGAGCCGTCGCCGCCGTATGCTTTGGCTTCCTCGACGACGGCGGCCAGCGACGGCACAAGCGACACGTACGTCGTCACCTCACCGGAAAAGGTCTCGCGGAGGGGGTAGTGTACGTGATAAGTAACGACCTCGTTGCCCCCACTGCCCCCTGTCTTCGTCGTGAGTGTGCATGGCCCGTCGTTGACCTGCCAGGGGACTGAGAAGCCCCGGCCGTTGGCGACCTCAGACATGGTCAGGGCAGCTAGAGCGGTGGTGTTGTGTCCCAGGAGGAGGGCGGCGTAGTCGCGCGTGGTCCCGATATGGATGAGTAGGTGGCGCACGAGATGGCGCATGACGTCTACCTTTGCCGTGAGCGAGGGCAGAGAGTCAAACATGGACCGGAGACGTGCTGCCACTCGTCCCCCGGGTGGCAGGCCAGGTAGAGCCGACCAGTCCACGGTGGGGACATTCAGAACCTGGGTGAGCGGGACGCACTCGAACGCAACGTGGGGGAAGGCCCCTGAGTATCGGGACAGTAGACGACGGGCCGGTGATGATGAGGTCGAGTCAGAGTCGGAGTTGTGGTCTAGGTCTGTGTCCACATGGACTACGAGGACCTCGAACGGCGATGCGGACTTCTTGCTCGCTTGGAAGCGCGCCTGCTCGTCTAGCAGGCAGGCTAGGGCACTCGAGGACTTGCCGAACGACAGGCCGGCGACGTACCGTCGGGGCTCTAGCTGGGTGGATGTGCGTGTCTCGTGGTGGAGGTAGCCGAAGCGCTTAGCCACCTTGATCTCAATGTAGTTGAGGAAGCATTTTCTGGAGGGTGTTTGTGTCTCAGTATATGGTAAAAGAAAAAAAAACATCGTCCTCAATCCAAACTGCGGCAAATAGAGGAGTAGACCTGATAGGATAATCTTGACTTACGTGCAGCTTGGGGCATGCCGGAGGGTCAAGGGTGCGTCTTCTGCCTTGCATCGTCTACAGGGCTTCTTTGTATCTGGGGGGGCTGTCATAGCGATGGCGGGGCGTTTTATATGCTCACGGGAACGGTTGAATAGTGGCCTAGAAGGGTATATGGTATATATCCTTATGAATATATGTCTTTCAAATGTCGTCGGGCTGGCGGTGGCTGATGAAACGAATTTTAACTCATGGCTTAGTGAGAGTTGGAGATGTTTTCGTGGGGCGTAAACCAAGAGGCGCTACTACTACTACTGCCACTACTCTACTACCACTACTACTACAATCTACTTGACATAGAATACAAGGCCTTGATTGAAATAGTAGAAAAAGTAGTGATAAGCGCCTACTCATCTACTAATTGAAGAAGAAAAAAAATGCATGGTAGTAGTAAGGAGAACAGAATAAATTTCCGTGGGGCTTAAAAAAAACGGGCTTGACCGGGGTTTGAACCCGGGACCTCGCACAAAAGCCTTTTACAAGCTTGGGATAAACTCCAGGAAAAGGAACCCGAAGCACGAATCATACCACTAGACCATCAAGCCAGTACATTCACGGAACAGAATGGAGGCGTAGGCCAGTGATAACGGGTCCAAAGTTGGAGCAGAGTACTACTCGATGGGTGCATGAGGCATGAAGCTGTCGCTAGTATGTACGGCGTAATACTACTGTCTGTCGTATTACCTATTCCCCGTAATACAGAGGCTATAATACGGAAGTTGACTGTATTATATTATTATTAAATCCGAGCGGAGTATATATACCGAATGCAGAGTCTACGAGTACATAGATCTACGGCTGACCAGTATTATTGCACCATGTTCCGTTGTCCACAACTGCCCTGCCACTGCCATTCTGCTGTGCATATTACAGGGGCTAGTGGCCATGGATGGCAGTCACTGGGTGCCCGTACGAGGCCTGTGACTCCATGGATGAGACGAACGTTGTGCAGCTCACTGTATAACTGTTAGGCAGCACGGGATATCCATAGCAGTTTGGCACTGTGACAGTGTCATCATTTTATGCTAGTGTACCTGTACTTGCACATGTATATGTAGCTACTTGTGGAGTCTATCATCTGGCGGTTTTAAACCGTCATGACGTCAACGCAAACTGGAGAGTTCGGTCTGAGTACTCACGGCATTCGGTTAAGTTTGTGCGTATCTGTACGAGAATGCATGTAAAATGAGATGTAAAGGTACACCCAGAACCATCTATCTCTATCTTAGACTCTACAACGAGTCAGGAGTCACGGGTCAAAGCAGGGACGTCCGTATTCATCATGATAATGCAAGACATGGGAGTGGTGACCGGAAACAGACCTGCTTCTGCGGCCCCCTCCCCCCCCCCCCCCACATGCAACTCGCTCACCTAATATGTTGCATCAGCGTTACAGAGCTTGACTACCGAACTTATCCAGCGCTTCATCAGTGATCCATTGGTCCTGGATCACCTACAGTTGCAGGATACCTACGACGTCAACGGGCTGTCTGCCTGGCGGATGCCTACAGCCTACAGCCCACTGGCCTGGAGACTACTCGTGCAGCTTACAGTACCCGGTACGTGTGCAAGCCACGGGCCAGACTACGGAGTATCAAAGCGTATATATACCTGACCGACTTATTAATACAGGGCCTCGCCCCAGCATGGTTCCACAGGGAGAATCCACTTCTTGTTACTGAAACCAGACCCCTTTTACCCTTGGAACAAGCAGTATTGAACCCGAGTGGTAATAATATTAGTATTAATAAATTATTACTCGTGGGATTGGTAAATGCTGCTTGCTGTCAAGTCGTACGAGCGTTGCTAGTAACCGAGCATTGTTACCAGGTACATACTATGGAATATCACTGCTACATGTATTAGGCAAGAAGTCCCATCCTGACCTGTGCTGCTCATACTGTACGAGTATATACTCCTTCCTACCTACAGATTACAGGCTACCAGGAACCTGCCTGACCTTGCCGCCCTGCTACATCGCGTTTGGGACTCGGAACCTCCTCTCCTCTCCCTCCTCCCGTCCCTCCCGTCCATCCCATCTCTGTTCCTCTCGACATCTTCGTTCAGACAACAAACGTCAACAGAATATAACCATTCCCAAGAGAAACCAAGATTAAAGAAAAAATAAAAAAAAATAAAAACTCGAAAAAAAACTCCTCTCCTTCGCACCGCCACCGAGGTGATGCTGTCGACTACCACTTCCACTGCTCAAGCTCCTCGCTGCTGCACCTCCGTCATCGCCTACTACCCCTTGCGCCCCCCAACTTTTTCCCACCATCGCCACCACCATCATCACCATCGTACCACGACTACTACGTCAGCCCGCAGCTGATCCCTAACACGCACGCACATACACATCGCACAGCGTGCGGAATCCACACAACGCATACACGCACCATGGCTCAGATCCAGGTCCAGCGTCCAGTCGAACCAGCCATGTCGTCGTCTGCACCCAAGCTCATCTCCTCCCAACCACCACCACCCTCCGAGGCGCCAGCACCGGCCAACGCTGCCAACCCCCGCGACCTGGTGGGCAACTCCGGGCCCGTAAGCCAAAATGGCTGCTTCGAGACGGATCGAGTCCTCAAGAGTGGCCATGTCCTACGACGTACGCGAAAGACTAGGGTTGGTAGCCACCCGGCCCCCCTCACTTACCGGAGGAGAAGATGATTGAGGATGAAGAAGCTAATACGTGTGTGTGTTTGTGTGTATGTACAGGCCTGGAAATCAATCTACCTCGTCCTCCGTCCCGACCGACTCTCGATATACAAGACGGACAAGGAGGACAAGCTCCGCCACCAAATCTACCTATCTGACCTGACGGCCGTCGCCTTCCTCAAGGACCCTAAACAGAAGCGCCAAAACATGTTTGGCCTCTTCTCCCCCTCGCGCAACTACCATCTCCAGGCCAACTCCGCCCAAGACGTCAGGTCGTGGGTCGACCTGATCCGCCGCGAGGCTCGTATAGAGGAGGAAGAGGAGGAAATGTTCCTGGCGGGTCCCGCATCGGGGTCCCGTACGTCTAGCGGAGGGCTGGCCGAGGGTCTATCCAGCTCCCCCGAGGCCGCTCACGCCGGCGCCCTGCCCGCACCGCCAGCCGGCTGGCGCAGGTCGACGCATTTCGAGTCATCCGGCCTGTCGGGCAACGAGCTCATGTCCCACTCGGACATGTCGGACAGCGAGCAGCGCGGCGGGGCCCCCGGCGCATCCCGGGAGAGCCTAACGCTGGGGGGCGCGCAGAAGCAGCAGCGGTCGACGGCCGTGGAGCAGTGGAGCGCGATGGCGGCGACCAACAACTTCGAAAACGACCCGGACCGCATCATCTGGCACGGCTGGCTGTATATGGTGCGGCCTAAGGGCGCGGTGCGCAAGTGGCGGCACCTGTGGGCGGTACTGCGGCCACGTAACCTGATCCTCTACAAGGACGAGTCCGAATACACGGCCCAGCACATCATCGACCTCTCGGCCATTGTCAACGTTGTCGACATCGACCCCGTCAGCCGCAGCAAGGCTCACTGCCTGCAGATCATCACCGAGGAGAAGAGCCACCGGCTTGCCATGCACGACGAGGAGTCGTTGGTCCAGTGCATCGGTGCCTTCAAGAGCCTCCTCGCCAAGAGGAGGGAGCTAGAGGCCAGAGCTGCCGCCTCTGCTAATCCTTAGAGTGTGTGCACCATCACCACTTTCCTCCTTCTCCCGCCATGACGACTTACGACAAAGAAAATCAAAGATTTATTCATAATAGTATCCAAACCCCGCAACGCGCTCCTCAGCTTCAATTTTTTTTTAATACATTTTATTTCTTCCTGTCATTCCCTCCCCTGTTTCATCGGAGTGTTCTACTTCCATATCTTGCAGAGTATAGTCTTATCAGCCGGAGTTACATAGCAATTCTTGCATCTCTTTTGTTTGGAGGAAGGAAGAGAGTCGACGCTTTACACAGTAACAGACAACCATGTATATACTATATGGCTCATTATTTAATTCCCACGATGTATTCGCAGTCTTGTACGCTACAAGTACGAGTACAGGTACTAATTTCATGTTGACAAACTAAAGATCAAGCCACACGGTCCATTGCATCATCTCTAGTTGACAACCCACCTACTATCTATACCGTATCGTATTGTGGCACCCAACTTGCATATTAAGCAGTTAGGAGCTGCTGCCACACATTCACATCTATAAATAGCCTTATAGATAGATTTCCTTCCTTTCCATAGAATTGAGTACTCAGGCATACATATATAGACCTAGGGCATATATATAGGTAGAGACCGCTATATTAGCGTCTACGGGTCATCGTGTGTTGTCTACTGGAAGCACAGTATGATCGTGTTGCAACTCCTCCCGTCTTACGGCAGTCAAGATCACTCACTACTCGGTTCAAGTATCCTTTGTGATACTTGGTGCTACCAGTAGCCATGACGACCCCGGATCCACTCTCAGGCACAGGCTTGGCTGATCAACTTGACAACCCAGTCTAAAAGCGCCGCGCATCGTGGCATGGAAATATCAACCAGTAGTGCTATTTATTCTATGGATATTTGTAGGATGGTATCATACTGTTCGTTCTCGTGCTATTACCACCACCAATACTACTACTACTACTACTACTACTACTACTACTACTACTAATAGTAGTAATAAACCTCCTGCCCCGTGGCCAGCCCTCCAAGGCTCTTTCTCACCCCCTCATTTATCACATGGACTTTGCTTATCGGAGAACAGCAACAATTCGAGGTGCACGCACACCTCCGGTGTTTGAGGCAGTGAACCCTTTGTTTTCGCAGTTGGGTCTGAAAGTATACAAACCCGAGAAGAAAGAAAAGAAATGGAAAATCATCTTCTATTATGATTTCTAAATATTACCCCTTCGTTGCTTTCACCACTCTGAGCAAACCCATCATGATAACTATACCAGCTCAAGCATTGGCTTTCATCCGCCTCCTCGTGGGCACCTTGCTTAGCGAGAAATCTCGTGTGCCTCTCAGGTCAGTGGGACGATGGATCGTCAACACAGACTTTCAGCGCGTCAAGCTTTGTTGCATCCGCTGGTCTGACTACACAGAGGCCAATATCCCCGAGGGGCTGAGCAAGCACAGTCTAGATCACATTACCGACTGGGTGGGCAACGCTGGCTTTAACGGCGTCCGCCTCACCTTCTCCATCGACAAGGCCCTAGACCCGCATATAGCTGTCGAGGATTCATTCCGCAAGGGTGCCTCGGATAGGGATGTCGACGAGGTCGCTGTCAAGAAATAGTACGACAGCGCTATTGTGTTGAACCCCCTCCTCGCTAACTCATCACACGTCGAGGTCTTTGACAAGTCTGGGCCGCTCTGTGGGATCACGGCGTCATAACCTTTCTCGACAACCATGTCAGCAGGGCCAAGTGGTGCTACAGCTTCGATGACGGTAACGGTTGGTCAAAGGAAGAACCAGGGTATCTGACCGCCAGCAGCAAGTACTTCATCACTGACGACTGGTTGGACGGACTCAAAAGCCATGGCTAAGTGGACCGTGAACCGCCCGGGATCTGCCGGCCTGTCGCTGCGCCTTTGCCGCCGCCCAGTGGTTGGAGAGGATGCCAGATGCTTCCCAAATCGTCCACGCAGCAAACCCCCGACCTTCTCGTTTCCATTGGCGACCTTGACGCTGGGCAAAAAAAAAATATAAGAAAAAAGCTGTAGGCAGCTTGCAGTGAAACGTAATCAATTCCAGTCGTTATAGTGCTTGGTGCAAAGGACACGAGCCCAACTCCCCAAGAAATGAAGCAGCCTAAGCGTCATCTGTCTTATCGAGGTTGAAAAAATCTGCGTCAAACTGACCATGCTCCATGGTGTTATCCAAATTTTGCTCATGACTGTTCATAAGATCGTCAAATGAGTTGCCGTCGTCCATGCTGAAGTCAAAGTCGGTTCCGTCTGCCGCGCCAAAGTCCATGTTGTCCATGTTGTCCATGCTTAGGCCGTCGAAGTTGGGAGCACCCAAGTCTGTCTGGTTATTTTCCTGCTGCTGCTGCTGCTGCTGCTGCTGATCCCCAGAGGGCACATCGAGAGGGCCTTGATTGGCAGGTTGCTCTGTGGATGTCTGAGGAAGGAGGTTGTCCAGCGAGCCGGCGGCATCGTTTGCATTGCCAGCCGGTACCAGGTTGGCGAGATCGAACGACTCGCCCTGGTCCTGGCCCATATGTTGGTCACCCTGGCCTCTACTTTCCGGTGCTGCTAGGGAGAACTCCATGTTGGTAAATGTCAGGTCTGACTCAGAGGGCCCAGGTGCTGATACGCCAGCTACAACATCAGACGGCTTTACATCAGCGTCGGTCTTTTCCGTGGGACCAACGGAGCCATTCTCAGACTTGACGGCGTTCTGGTCTTCCGGTTTGGGCTCAGTCCCGTCTGTGGCATCAGCAGTTCCCTCCATGCTCATTCCCATGCCCATATCGGGAAAAGGTGCCAAAGCCTTGCTCTCGGCTCCGAAGCTAGACGTCTGGTCCCCACCTTCAGCCTTAAAGGTTGGTGAAGATTTCAACTCGATAACCATGGGGGGTTTGGACTGGGTCTCGACAGGTTGCGGGACCTCGGCAGATGCGTTTGCCTTGCTGTCTCGCAGACGCTCCAGATCGCGAAGCATGATAGACTTGGCGCGAATCTGCATTACGCTAGGTTAGCTATATGGTCGTCAATTAAAAATTGCAAATCGTCTCACAATTTCGTGCTCCATGCCATCGAGAGCGTAACTGAAAGTTTGCAAGGTCTCGGGGATCTTGAAGTGTGTAGGTGCCAGACTGGGGTACTGGCCCGGGGTGTCCTGGCGCGAGGCATGAAGGGCCTTGCCAGTCTTGATCAGCTAGACGAGGGGAGTAGTCATCAGTTAAGACTATTCCTTAGGACTATTCAAGGTGCAGTGAAATGGCTAAGAGATGAGGCTGATGAAGGAGGGGCATCAGACTTACCACATCGTTGAACATGTCTTGAAGAACATCAAGCGAGTCCATGGAGGAAGTCTGTATTGGCGCCATGGCTCGGGTAGGTAGCGGGTGAAACAATGAACTGAGAGGCGGGGAACTGGCCGTCGTCACCCAAGGCTTGCGACGACGCTTCAAAGAGGTTTGTGTACGTGGATTGTTGATAAAGGCGCGGGCTGTTTGCTTGTATGTGACTTGGAGGTGAGTGAAAGGTGTGAGATTATGATGCAGAGGGCGGCTGTAAGTATGGGAGTGTGACTTGGAGTGCTGAGGGTAGCCTGAAGAGAGCGTGGAGGATGTGCGCAGGGAGTGAAGGATTCAGCCACGGCCTTCCAGCCATTGACCTCCAATTTTGTTTCATTACATAATATGAAGTACCGTGCGATTCTGAGTTGATACAGTAATATATTGTTGGAGATGGGCGGTCAGCACAGTACAGCCTGACGGACGCTAGACACTACTCATGTGGTGGTGCACTTTTTACCTGTGTTTTACTGTTTATTAGTACCATTATACTCCGTAGGTATAGTAATGCAATGATATAGTGATAAAACAATGAAAACAATGTTCTCATTTGAGCAGTCCTTTACCTGTACACTCTACGACTCACTGGAAATCAAAGGGTTGTTGAGGTTGCCTTGACAGTATTCGCACGTGATGCTGCTGATTGCTTCCATGCTCCCGTTGTGCGATATCACCGCTAGAAGCACTATGAGATTAGCGCGCCAGTAGCGGCAGTAGTGGCAGTCAATATTACTCGTACCATTGCGAGTACAATGAGCATTCATAACCGCGGGTCGTACCACTAGGTAGGAACGTATTGGTGATTCGCGCCTACCCCAACCCACTATGGGCTGCACAGTGTGCTGAGTTACCCAACAGGGTAATTTCCCGCATTTTTGCCGCTGTTAATACTGCGGTGGTGATATCAATACTATTCTGTGACGTGTAATGGCATAAGGCAGTAGCTATGAAGCTCCGACGTAATCATGTTCCTAACATGACCCCTACAACTATTACTAGAGTAGTCTGGAGTGTTGGTATCTACAACAGCACATACAGAGATTGCTAATAATAGTATTAGCTCAGTAGTATGCCTGATATCGAAAATGTCCGCCAAATGTGAATACATGGCTCCATTTACTAGACTAGGAAAAAAAGAAGAAAAAAATGACCCCTCCGGTAACGCTGAATTATGATTTATTATAGTTGCTATTTCCTTCCAACTCGTACCGTGGAAGGCTCCCGCTGATCGTAGACTCCCCTCTCAGTGTGCAATCACATCTGGCGTGCCACCAGGTTAAATGACTGGCCAGAGCTAGCCAATCACACATTTGACAGAAAAGGGCGGTCTATTCGTTGGGTTGGCTTTGGCATCTCCTCTCCCCCAAACGCCCCAAACAGGGCCCCCTCACTGTGTATTTTACTCCACCCAAAGCTGTGTTTTTTTTTTGCCCATTCCCTCGACCTGCTGTAGAATTGGCATCTCTTCTATTTTCTTTTTAGTCTTTGACACAACATTTGAACAGCGGCTGTTGCGATTTCGGGATCAGGTTCTTTGCGTTTCTGTTTCCTTTACCGTCTGTTCTCCTTTACTGCTCCTGTCGTCGTCTTCTTCTACTCTTCTTTCCCCTCCCCCCTTCCCCTCCTTTCCCCCTTCTTCTATTCCATTCCCGTCTTCTTCAGTCTCTCACATCCTGCTCTCAGCGTGTCTTCTCCCGCCTAGTTTCTTGAGTCCCTGCTGCAAGACAGAAAAGCCCATCCCCTCCCCCCTCTGCGGCTGTGGAAACCTCCAAGAAAAAGATCAACGACTTGTTTCTCTTTTCCCTTCCTCTTTTTTTTCCCCATCGATCCTTCTTATTTGGATTGCGTCGTGTGTGTGGCCTTTCTCGGCAGAGAAGAGAGCTAATTAATACCCGACGCTCTCTCATCAACCCCTCCTCTTCCCTCTGGACCAGCTCCTATCAAATCTGGTGGTCCTTGTTTCCATTTGATCCATCAACCGCCTCCTCTTTCCTTCACGTTTCTCTTCTTTCAAAAGAACCCAGAATCATGGACGACTCCACTGCTTCCGCCAACGCAGCCCAGCTCCCCTCTGCTCCCGCTCAGCAGAATGCTGGTGCTGCTCCCGGCTTTGAGGCGGGGCAGAATGGTCAGGCTGGTGGCGCATCGCATCTGCCGCCGCCGCCGCTGCACATCCCCCAGAACACGAACCCGATCCCCACGGCCATCACCTCGCCGCGGTCCGGTGACCAGGGAGGCATCATGTCCCCCACCAGCGCCGGCGGTTTTCGTCGGGCTGCTCCCGAGCCTAACAAGCGGGCGCTCTACATCGGTGGGCTGGATCAGCGCGTCACTGAAGATGTCCTGAGACAAATCTTTGAAACTACAGGCCACGTTCAGAACGTCAAGATTATTCCCGACAAGAATGTGAGTAAAGACACTACCCCGCATCCACCCATTACCTGCCAAATGACTATATGTGCTAACAAATGGGCGTACGTGTCCCCAGGCCAAGGGCTTCAACTACGGATTTGTCGAATACGACGACCCTGGTGCGGCTGAGCGCGCCATGCAGACGCTTAACGGACGTCGTGTTCACCAATCGGTAACTAAATACTCAATTCCCAATACTCGATACTCTCGAGAATAGTCCACCCTCCCCGCACAAAGGGGCATATATACATGGCAGGGCTAATGTGTTGTCCAAACAAATACAGGAGATCCGCGTCAACTGGGCCTACCAGTCTAACGCCACCGGCAAAGAAGATACGTCGGGCCACTTCCACATCTTTGTTGGTGACCTGTCCAACGAGGTCAACGACGAGGTGCTCACCCAGGCCTTTTCCGCCTTTGGTTCCGTTTCCGAGGCCCGTGTCATGTGGGACATGAAGACGGGCCGATCGCGTGGCTACGGATTCGTCGCTTTCCGCGACCGCCCCGAGGCCGAGAAGGCCCTGAGCTCCATGGACGGCGAGTGGCTCGGATCCCGTGCCATCCGCTGCAACTGGGCCAACCAGAAGGGTCAGCCGTCGATGGCGCAGCAGCAGGCGATGCAGGCTATGGGCCTGACGCCCACCACGCCCTTTGGCCACCACCAGTTCCCCTCACACGGCGTAGCCAGCTACGAGGTTATCCTAGGCCAGACCCCCTCCTGGCAGACAACATGCTACGTCGGCAACCTGACGCCCTACACGACCCCTCACGACGTGGTGCCTCTGTTCCAGAACTTTGGTTTCGTCCAGGAGTCGCGCTTCCACGCCGATCGCGGTTTTGCCTTTATTAAGATGGACTCGCACGAGAATGCGGCCATGGGCATCTGCCAGATGAACGGGTACAATGTCAACGGCAGGCCCCTCAAGTGCAGCGTATGTTGAACCACCACACTTCTCCCCTCCTCCCTCTTCTGCCACAGTACAGTGCCACATGTTTGTACAATCGCTAACACCACTCAATCAACAGTGGGGCAAGGACAAGACGCCTACGGCTCAGGGCTTCGACCCGTCTCAGCAGTACAGCCCTCAGAGCGCCCAGACTCCCGGCGCCTTTGCCGGCACGCCCACGTTTTACCCGCAGTACGGCGGTTAGTTTGGACCCCCTCTCGCCCGGGTCGTCGTGGCCCCCGAAAAAAAAAAGATGGAGGCGCAAAAAATTTTTGAAAAAAAAAAGACTGCGGCGAAAACACACAGAAAAAGAACGAAACAGCTACTGACGAATTATGGCGCGCGACGGTAGCCCAATACGGCGGTCAGCAGGGTAACTTTGGGGCGCCTCCGACTGGCTCCCCGGCCGGATTCGCCGGCTCTCCGATGGGCTACGCGCCTCCTCAGAGCGCGGGTGGCTTTGGCCGCGGACAGCAGCAGCAAGTTCCTCCGCAAGGACAGTGGTCCCAGCAGCAGCAGGCTGGACCCGGACCTGGGCAAAACTTCAACAATGGATTCGCCGGTTACCAATCGTAGGATGGCAAGGGCCGGCGTACCGTTGGAGGAAGAGGCAACCTGGGAAACTCGCGGTCCCGCAGGTTGTTTGCCCACTAGTTTGCCATATCGACTGAGGAAGCTGTCTTTGTCAGCTTGTGAAGAGTTGTTTTCTCAACTCGCCTTGTCTTGTCAACTTAAGAGTCTTCATTTTCTAACTTTTTTCCTTGCCGCTTTTTTTCTTGTTCATCTCTCTCTGTCTCTCTCTACTCTGTTCATTTTCAGACAAAAAAAATATCTCCTCGTTTTTTCCCTCTTTCTTTTTTTCCATGTTACTAAGGGTCTTTGACTCTTGTTATGATTGTCATGACCCTTTCTTCTTTTTTCCCGTCAGATCTCTTCTATCTCTATTTTCCAACTCTTTTCAACTCTTTTTTTCTAAATTGTCATGAGCTTCACCTGCTCGCTCTCCTGAGCCGTTTCCTCCCCCTTTCTTTGGCTCACATTGCTTCTGCCTTTTCTTCCTCCCTTTTTTCCATTTCCGTGATTTGCTTACTTGCGCGACGCAAAAAGAACTTAACCAGCCTTTGATTTAACCTCGAGAGTCCTATGTATTTCCTCTCAAGGACGACAGAGCAGAGATGAAATGAATGTACGGCCGCAGAATTTTCATCAGGATACCACTTTGTTATGTTGTCACTTTACACTCATCCGACTCGTTTTCTTGTCTTCAGCCGCTTTCCTCTCGCTTTTTTATGCGCTATCTCCTTTTCAATTACGACGAAGGACTGTTATACGAATTTTATTACTTGGTATTGGGGGGGGGGCCATTGTACGGCCATGTTGTAGAGAAAGATATGGCATAAAAGGAATATCAAAAGGCCACAACGGGTCGATTACATTACACTGATTGCACTGGAAATTAAAAGTTAGTGACTGTTGATTTCTCGTGACAGAAGGAGAGGAAAACAACTCCGACTAGCTTGACATATCGGCACGTGACGTACGTCAAGCTACTGCACTGAAGATGGCAATTTAGCAGAGCATTAGTTTAAGGTGGCAAGGCTGCCTCATGTGTGCCTAAAGTTGGGGAAGGGGTGGGAAGAAAAAAGAGTGTACGGTCGAAGTATTAGCTGTACCTTTGACGTCAATGGACATGCCTGTAGTCATACGGGGCCGGAATTAACATGTACAATGTGGATTTATGAGGCAACGAGGTACCACCATCCATGGTGTCCATAGGTCTCGTACTTCTCCATGGGCAGCATCGTCAGAAGTTCAGTAAATTAAATGTTCAATGATCCGCTGGGGCGAGGCCGGACTGCCAGGTGCTATCCATAGCAACTCCCATCTACAGGGCCTTGTCGCACCATGATAACCGCTACAGCTCCTCCACATTCAGTGAACACTCAGTAAATATATTCACCTGGGCAGCGAGCAACGCAGTAGAGATGGCCAGCAAACAGCGTGTCTCGCAGCAACGTAGCACACCACAGCGAATGCTACAGCGAACGCTACGGCGCACACTACTACCATAATACTGCACTAGCTAGAGATCCGTACCTAGCACAGGTAGTTGACCCTCCCAAGCACCAGATCCCCCCATTCCACCCGCCTCTCCTCTCTCCCTCCCTCTCTCCTCCCCTCCGCCCGTCGCCCCTTTGCTCTGCTCAGTGTCCATCGAATCTGTGCTGTTTGGCTTCTCAGGACCCTCTCTTTCGTGCAGCTGCCATTTCGCCCAATCTTTTTTCTTTTTCTCTTCCCTCCTTGGATCCCTTCCTTAGTTTCCCTTTTCGCTCACGACCCAGCACACGACGACTCGGAAACAAAAACAACCCCTCCTTCGCCTCTGGCCTTTCATCTTCCCTCTTCCTCCTCCTTCGAGCGAGAGAAAGTCTGTGTTTATCTTGGTGCGCGAACTGCCGCCCGCCCCATCGCGACCACTGTGCGGCCCCGCCTTGCTCATCTATCCCATCATCCCCCCCCCCCCCCAAGAAAGAGAAACGACTGTGGTTTGCTTTACCGCAAAAAAGGGCAAATTTCACCCAACTACAACAACAGTAACAACAATTCCGACACATAAGTCGTCGCTGCAACAATCCTATACCTGTCATGGCCGACGCGACAAACTCGGGCGATGAGCTCTACCCCATTGCCGTGCTCATCGACGAGCTCAAGGTGAGAGAGCCCCTCGTTCCTTCTCACCGACCTGAAGGCCGTCGTTACCACTCACCGAGGCCACGCATGTCTTTGCCCTTCTCTCGATATTCCCACAACTCTGCGTGCGTATGAGGTATGAGGTATGAGGTATGGCTAACTGTGCCTTTTCCTAGCACGATGATGTTACGCTCCGCCTCAATGCTATCCACCGCCTCTCGACCATTGCCCTCGCCCTTGGCCCGGAGCGTACGCGGGATGAGCTCGTTCCCTTTCTCGACGGTGAGCCTCTCCCTTTTCTTCCTCTTCATCTTGCAGCTCCTTTCGGGATATGCAGACGCGCGGATCCCTGACATTTTTTATAAATACACGCAGAATCGGTCGAGGATGAAGATGAAGTCTTGGTGGCTCTCAGCGAAGAGCTGGGCGGTTTCGTCGAATACGTCGGCGGCCCCGATTACGGTCACGTCCTGCTCTCACCCCTCGAGAACCTCGCCGCCATCGAGGAACCCGTTGTTCGCGACAAGGTAAATGATTCTCAGCAGCACAGACACACATACGAGTGAAACGATTGGCCCTTTCGAGAATACGAGAAATAAGAAGAAGCGCCGAGCAAGGACGAAGAATGAAACAAGACTGACGTATGACGTACAAATACAGGCAGTCGAGTCGCTCAACAAGATTTGCAGCCAGCTGTCATCCCAGCAGGTTGAAGAGTACTTCATCCCCCTGACGCTCCGACTCTCTAAGGCAGACTGGTTCACGTCCAAGGTCTCGGGCTGCGGACTCTACACCACCCCCTACAGCAAGGTCTCGGAGCTGTCGCAGGAGCAGCTCCGCCAACAGTTTGGTCTACTCGTCCATGATGAGACCCCCATGGTCCGCCGCCAGGCCGCCACCAACCTCTCCAAGTTTGTCAAGGAGATGACGGCCCCCGTCGTCATTGACGAGATGATCCCCCTCTTCCAGCACCTCGTCTCTGACGACCAGGACAGCGTCCGCCTCCTCACCGTCGACATCCTTACCTCAATAGCCGAGACGGTTCCCAAGGAGCAGCAGGCCAGCCACGGTGTCCTGCTCACCTCCCTGCGCAGCCTGATAGAAGATAAGAGCTGGAGGGTCAGGTATATGATTGCCGACAGGTTTGAAAAGGTACTCTACACCACCAATCTTCTCCCCCGCTAGCGTTTGGAGAGAGCCCCAGTCAGCTATAAGCATGTCATGAGCATATATATACGTCATACAAAGGAACAAGCAGAGTACTGACCTGACCAAACACAGATGGCCAAGGCTGTCGACGACGAAGTTGTCTCTAGGGACCTTGTCCCCGCATTTGTCAAGCTCCTCAAGGACAACGAGGCCGAGGTGCGGACCGCCATTGCCGGTCAGATTCCCGGCTTCTGCGCCCTCGTCGACCGCTCCGTCCTCCTTGGTGATATCATCAGCAGCATCGAGGATCTCGTCTCCGACTCTTCCCAACACGTGCGGGCCGCGCTTGGGACCCAGATCAGCGGACTGGCTCCCATCTTGGGCAAGCAGGAGACTATTGACCACCTTCTCCCCATGTTCCTGCAGATGCTCAAGGATGAGTTTCCTGAGGTTAGGCTTCACATCATCTCCAAGCTTGAGCTTGTCAACCAGGGTATTTCCCTCCACCCTTATATATTCTACGTATGCCTGACCACACACTGACATTGACTCTTTCCCAGTTATTGGTATCGACCTTCTCTCGCAGGCCCTCCTCCCTGCTATTATCCAGCTTGCCGAGGACAAACAGTGGCGTGTGCGCCTAGCCATCATCGAGTACATTCCCCTGCTGGCCAGCCAACTGGGCGTCAAATTCTTTGATGAGAAGCTCAGCACTCTGTGCATGGGCTGGCTAGGTGACACCGTCTTCTCTATCAGGGAGGCGGCCACGCACAACCTCCAGAAGCTGACCGAGGTCTTTGGCGTCGAGTGGGCTAGCGAGGCCATCATTCCCCGCGTCATGCAGATGGGCAACCACCCCAACTACCTATACAGGATGACGACGTGCTTTGCAATCTCGGTAGGTTCTCCAACGGGTCCTACGCACACACACATATGTGTGTGCGTGGTACCAAGGATCTCCCCCTTTTGTTTTGCTCTGTTGATTAGCCCTTTACTAACTTGACTGACTGCGTAGACCCTCGCCAACGTGGTGAGCATGGATGTGATTGCCAAGTCGATACTTCCCATGCTAGACAAGATGGCGGACGACGACATCCCCAACATCCGCTTCAACGTGGCCAAGACGTACACGGTGCTGGCCAACACGTTGCGCCGCCTGCCCGAAGAGGGCACCCTTTACTCTCTAGAGAAGAAGGGCAAAGATTTCAAGCCGTCACCCCGCGGCCAGGAGCTCATCGAGCAGAAGATTACGCCCAACCTGATCAAGCTGCAAAAGGACGACGATGTCGACGTGCGCTTCTTCGCGACGACGGGACTTGGAGAGCCGGCGGGTGGCATGATCGCTGCGACGGGTGGCGGCCAGCAACAGTCGACTGAGGGGGAGCCGATGAATACGTCACCATAGATTTTATTTTTCTCATGAAAGAAACGAAAAAAAAGAGACTCTGAGAAGCAAAAAAACAAATTAATGACACTATCAGTTATATCTGTTGTGTGGTGTTGCGTGTTGTAGTCAACTTGATGAAGTTGCAGTTCTTGGACTTGGGATGCTGAAAATTGGATTTTTTTTTGTTCTCGTCATAGGCCGCATAATGCTATAATTTTTTACTTCTTTTGTCATGTTATGTAGTATGGTCTACCTCTTACGGAAACAGAGGGTGGTGATGGTCTGACCCTTGTGACCGCCAAACTGGAAGCTGCGATACTCGACCCTACCATGCAGTACGAAGCCGTCGTCGCCCTCGAACCAGGCCCTCAGCTCGGGTTCAGTCCAGTTACAGCTGGTGATGATGAAGTAGCCCCCTGGACGTACGAGCTGCAGAACACGCGGTCTGTAGCCCTCGTTTGGGCGGCGGCGAGGACTACTGTTCCCTTGATCACCTTGACTTCCTCTAATATCGTCACCGTCTCCCTCTCCGTCGTCGTCGCCATCGCCGTCGCCGCCGGCGCTGAGAGATATAGCATCAAAGGTGCCCTTGTCGAGAACGACGTCCCACCCCTCCGACTGCTGACCGTTGAGCACCGTCTTCCAAGGGCCGGATAGGACATCCCACTCCTCAAAGGAGATGTTGTCCCTCGACTTCCCCGCAGAGGAGGAGGAAGAAGAAGAAGATGATGATGATACCTGTCTCGCTAGCTGGACTGACTGGGGTGAATAGTCTACACCTAACATACGACCTGTCCATCTGTCCTGTTGTTTTCGTTGTTCTCGTCCATCGTCATCATCGTCATCATCATCGTCCGAGTCCTGGGCACCGTCGCGTAGGGAGAATAACAGAGAGCCGTTGCCGCATCCCAGGTCGAGAAAGGACGTGGTGTCGCGTGGGAGGGATGACTCCCCGGATAGGTACCCCGTTATCTTGGCCTCGGCGTCGGAGTCGTCAAACCAGATTGTTCCTATGTCGGAGGGGTCGGAGGCGTGGTTTGTCAGTTCTGTCGTGTATAGCTTATCCCAACTTGAGGTTAGTTAGCAAGGGTAGTCAGAAGGGGGGGGGATGAGGTTGTATGTTTTTTTCCTGGGGGTCTAAAAGAGAAACTGACTAGGACTTTGTGCCCAGTTTGGAGGGGGGGAGATGATCCGGGTGTGGTTGAGACATTGTTGCTAGTAGTATCTTGTTGCTGTTGTCAGCATGTTTGCGTCGGAGGTTGTCTGTTGTTGCGAAAATCTCTGGTGGGGTAAGTAGGTGGTGGGGTTGAAGAAGCACCAAAAGTACAGATCACTCCTCCCTACGTACACAGCCAGATATTTTTCCGCGAGTCATAATAAGTGGTAGTGATTTAGGCTGGAAATGATGGGAATCTTGGACAGACACAGAGCACACGGGGATAGTCATATTCATTGCCAGGATTAGACTTTTTCTTTTTACTTGTAAAATGAGAGAGAGAGTCAAAAACCCCCCCGTTCATCAATATACACACGACAAAGCCCAGCTGCAAACAACGCCGTCCATGCAGAGAAATAGAGAGAGAATGACCCCATCAACGTTGGATCAACAGCAACAACCACCTCATTGTCTCTCTTTTTCTCTCTCTCCTTCCTAAACGCCAGTGCCAGCAGCATAAAAGCAAAAAGGAAGAAAAAAAAGTGGGATCGAACCAAACCCAAACCAAACCAGACCAAAAGGAAAGAAAAAAAGACTATTTGTTGCAGAATTTCTTAAAAGAGATAATAGTCTAGTAGAAACTCTCGACAATAGTATCCTTCATGTTAGAGTTGATATTACCAGGCGTCATACCCTCTCCGAGACGGAAGACGGACTCGATGACGCTGAGCTCGGTGGCGGTCGTGTCCAGCCCGGTAACGGCGAGCCAGTCGTTGACCACCATGCCGGCGCCGACGACGTTGCTGCCGCGGTTGACGGACCCGGCCACGAGGGGAACCTGCAGCAGGCTGGACAGCTCGTCCTGGTCCTGGATGCTCGTCTGCGGGTGCACCAGCCCGCCCTGGTTGGACAGGCTCATGTAGCTGCCGACCAGGACGTTGTCGGCCACGGTCTGGCGGAAGACCTCGACGCCCAAGACGTCAGCGATGATCTCCTCCGTCTCGCGCTCCAGGTCCGGGTGGATCAGGGCGATGTGGTCGTTGGCCACGATGACGTTTCCCAGAGCCGACAGGCGTTCCTCGATGCGCTGGACTCGCACGCTGTCCGGGAGCGAGTTGCGCAGGTGCTGGAGCTCCTGGTCCGTCGTCGTCGTCGGGACCAGGAGGCCCTTGCGGTTGCCGGCCGTCAGCCGTCCGATGACCCGCGTGCCTGCAATCGTCGTGCGCACCGTCGGCACAATGTCCTGGAGTTCGGCCTCGAAGACGCTGATGCCATCGTCTGTGTCAGATTCGAAAAAGAAAAAAAGAAGAAGAAGAAAACTCTGCCAACTTGTGCCGTCCCATCCTCCCTTCTCCGACACCACCACCTGATAACTCACCTGTAAAAGTTCTCGCTGGCTCCAAGAGCAACAAGAGCATATGAGTTGGTCAGCGTCGAAAAGACACCAATCCTAGAAGGAAAAGAAGAAGAAAAGTCAGTTTCAAGTCATCCTTCTTCTCGTCTTTCTCGAAGCGGGGGCGGGGTACTCACTCGTTGGAATTTTCAAACTGAGCGCGCACCGCCATGATTGCAGACTTTTATATCTTTTTTTCTTGAAGAGGCAGTATTGCGTGAATGAAAGGTTGCAGGAAAAAAATAATAAAAAGGAGAGAAAGAAGTTGTTGTCACTTTGTGGTCTATGGCGTGTATATGACCTTTTTCTTCTTCAATTTTTTTTAAAAAAAAATTTAAAAAAGAGAAAGAAGGTCTTTAAAAATAGAGAAATAAAAAGGAAAATAAGAAAAGGTCGAGCTAGAGAAACGGATAAAAAAAATCCAGCCACTATCGTTTGCGGGGCGGGGTGGTAGAGAAGGTCGAGAGGAGGGGTCCTAGTTCTGCTTTTCTAGGTAGGTATTAATAAACCGCCGCTACAGTGAGAGATGCTACAGTGGGCCGTGACTGGTGAGCCTCTTGTCCATGTTTCAGTCGATTAGTTAGTGGATCTCGATCACTGTAACTCCCTAAATCAACTGTGAGAAGACATCCACCCGCTGTAGAGCACAGAGGAAGAAGGGGGGAAGATGAGCTTCACCTGATAAATGCGCCCCGGTGACTCATTCTAAAGATCTTGTCCTATGATGCTCGGCACTTGTTGCTGTAAGGAAATGAGTAATTTGGAAATGCATGGCTGAATCAAAGGGCATCCCGTCGATACGAGATGGTCTCCGGATTCGTCATTCGGCATCATTCTTTCTCATCGCGACTGTGCTGACCCTGGAGAGTCATACCATCGTCGGAGCTCAGTACAAGACATATTGACGCAAGACTCACAACTACTAGCAGTAGTAGACCGTAGCAGTACCCAAGAGATCAACACCAAGGGGCTATACAAAACCTCAACCAGGAAAATGAAACAAGTGATATAGAGAGAAAGAAAATAAAGAAGAAAAGAAAAAGAAAGGAAAAAGAAAAAAACACTGCTTGCCATCCTATCAAAAACATGCATCATGAAAGCTTTCGTCCCATCATCTTGACAATCCAATCCATCCAGTTCACCTTTCTTCCCTCGTCTTCCTTGGCTCGTCATAGATGGACATTGACAAATTCGGCAATGGCTTCAGCCGTGACATATGCTTTTGCGGTCCCACATCACTCTATTTCAACTCATCCTATCCTCCCTCCCTTCTTCACCTTGCTCTCCTCGACCGTCTCACATGGTCCACACCGGCGCCTTGACCAACACCTGTCGACCCCTCACCTCCCACGCCATAAAGGCTGCGAATCGTACCTTAAGTTCCTTGGGTGCAGCAGCTATTCGGTTTTCTCCGTCAGTACTCATTGTCTCGGGGCCGCCTTGTGCGGAAAGAGACCTACCTTTCCCATCCGAGTCTTCGTCAGAGTCTTCGTCCGAATCGCCATCGTCGATGGGCGGCAGCTCCGTCTTCTCCACCTCCATGATATCCGGGCGCACAATGTCGCCGGGCAGCGGGTAATTGATGGCCACGTCACGGCTCTCGAGGGGAAGGTTGCCGGCAATGCTGACGGCCAGCTCGGCAATCATCGACGTGCTGCCATCGACGCCAGCCGGGGGCGGGTCGTTGAGGAACTTGTACAGGTAGTTTGTCAGGTTGGTCGTAGTCCTCTTCATGAGGGCCTGCTTATTCGCGTCCACCAGGTCGGGCGAGAGCTTGCTCTGCAGCCCGTCCAGCGTCGCCATCCTCCAGTGGACCACCTTGGTTGTCAGGGCGTCGAACTCCTCCTGACTATGCATCGTGTAGGCGTTTCCGCGGATGCTCAGCTCAATCATCTTGAGCTGCGAACTCAGCTCCTCGTCCAATCCCGGATGGAAGCACTTGTCAAACAGCTCCTCGGTGAGCCAGCGCGAGATGGTGGCACGACCGACAGCCGTCATCTCCTGCTTGCCCGTCTTGAGGGCGTCGGCGCTGACCTTGCTGGCGAGCCAGGGAGGCAGGCTCTTCCAGTCCTTGCGGATGTTGAAGGCGAGGTTCATGATGGCGCCGTTGAGGCGGTTGGAGCGTGCAGAGTACTCATTGTCGTCCAATGCCGTGCGTGAGTGCGTGATGCGCTGGTTGGCCACGGCATTCTGAAGTTGTTCCACCTGTCCGTTGAGACCTTCGATGACGGCTTTACGATCAAAGTACAGTCGCTTGACATTCTTGTACTTGGCCACTACAGAGCAAAAGGGGGGAGGGTATCAGTCAAGTCACGCGTTAATTGACGAAGGAGAAGGTACAAGGTGCAGTGGGGGTGATGACGACATACACAATTCATTGAATGCCTTCTCTCCTTCGGTTGAATCCCGGTCAGGCTGAGGGCTCTGGCGGCCAAGGTCAAGTGACGACGACTGTTCGAAACGAGGAGTCTGAGCACCGGCACCACTACCACCAGGCTGGTCACGGAGTGAACCCTTGCCTCCTCGGGTCAAGCCCTGAGTCGATGGGGCCATGACAGGTTGAGCCTGGGGGTTCGGGGATGAATCGTGGGCTTGTTGCTGCTGTTGGTTCTGAAGGGAGGAATGTTGGCTGGTTGACAGCTGATCGGGATCTGTCAGAAGAGAATCACGAGAGACGGTGAGGGGTGTGTCGTGATTCTGCTGGTGCTGCTGTTGCCGCTGCAGCTGATCGAGCTGAGCTTGAGAAAGGTTTGTATTTTGCTGGGTATACGTGTACTGGGGCGGAAGGTTGTAACCCTGCGGCTGAAGTTGCTGCTGCTGCTGCTGCTGAGCTGAGGGGTCAAGCTGTTGTTGGTGAAGCGAATGATGCTGCTGTTGGAGTTGAACGTGGGGTTGTTGTGGTTGCGACGAGAGTGGGGCAGTGGGCTGCGTGGGCTGCGTGGACTGCGCCTGCTGCTGCTGCTGCTGTTGTTGTTGTTGTTGTAGGTGGGGTTGGGAAGGAGCGGCGGCGAGAACGTTGAGTCCCTGCTGCTGTTGCTGCAGGTGCGTGAGTGGCGGCGCTCCTGCCGCAGCCGGTGCCACTCCAGATCCTCCTGCTGGTACTGGCAGTGGGTGATAAGCGCCCCCCTGCTGTTGGTACGACGATGATTCTGCGTCTTCCGCAGTCACTGACCTCGCCGTCAGCTGTGGCTGTGCCTGCTGTGAATGTGGCAGTATACCCACACCACCGACACCACCGACTGCAAAGTCTCGGTCCGATCTTCTCTCGTCTATGCTTGGCCTCGGATGGCTCTGATACTCTTCAATCTCATCGACGTCGCGCAAAGGGGATGATTCCAGACTGTAGCCTCCCTGAGACTGCCAATCACCGACGAGCTGGTTTGGCGTCTGCAGTCGCTGCGAGGAAGAAGAGGCCGGGTCTCGTTTCGATAGTCGCCGACTAAGATTTCCGGTGTTGTCGTACGAGGACTGCTGCTGATGCTGCTGATGCTGCTGCTGCTGTTGCTGCTGATGATGATGCTGACTATCACTGCCCAGGCGGCTGGATCCTGAAAAGATGCCCTTGATGAATGACCGTTTCGACTTCTTCTCGGACGAGGGAGGGGCGGCGGCAACGGGAACGGCTTGGAGCTGGTCTTCTTCTCCTACGGAATCGGCGTGGGTACCCTGCTGCTGCTGCTGCTGCTGCTGCTGCTGCTGCTGGAGATGCGGCTGCGGCTGCGGAGACGGGATTCCGGCGTAGGCGCTGTAGCGGTGACTCTTTGTCTGTGACTGCGACTGAGACCGCTGGACAGATGGGTCAACGGTATCAAACTCGGAATGGCGACGACCGGCGAAGAAGGACTGCGAATCGCCAACGTCGGACGACGAGTTGTTGTTGTACAACTGCTGCTGGGAGGCAATCCGAGCTCCACCACCGCCTCCACCGCCAATGCTGGCACCGTCGCCAGCGGAGGGGGCCGGATGTTGCTGCTGGTGGTATGTCGCAGCGGCAGATGTCGGCGGCTGCGTTCGCTGGTCGTTGAAGGACGTCTCGCTCGAGTTACGCGACGGCAGTCTGAATTGGGACAGAGTCGAAGAGAGTCCCTGTCCCGGAGGTGGTGAGGAGGAAGAATCTTCGGTCAGGTTATTATGGGATCGATCGCTATGCTTTCCCAGGCGAGGAAAGGTCGGCATGTTTCAGCAAGAGGGGTCGGCCCTGGGCAAGGCACAGTCTCGATAGGCCAAGAAGTCGGTCTAGGCTGTTTGTTTCTTTCTGGACCTTCCGGTGTGTGTCCCTCGTTGGCTGGGGGGGTTGGTAGCCTTTGTTTCCTGAAGATGGAGGCTGGACAAGAGAACGAACAACTGGCTCCGTAGAGAGTGGGAGAGAAAATAGCCTCAGAAGGATTGGCTTGACCGGGGCGTGGTATTGGAGAGAGGGAGGGATGGTTGGAGCTGTTGGGTGGGTATAATGGTACGTAGTATGGGCGGGGACTTTTACACGCAGAGGCGCACGCAGCCACAGAGGCGGTATTCTGGAGTACGTATAATATGAGTGTACGAAGGACAATTATATTATTAGACTTATTACCAGTAGCATCACTGGTATTATTGCTATTTTTACCTCTGAGTACCTCAGGTGTACTAAGTATTATTGCTACTAATAACTGCTGGCAGTACTAGGAGCGTTCCGTACTAGGGACCGGTAATACTCCTTGCTCCGTACATACGACGTAGATATACCGCGCGGAGCGGTAGGAATATCTCGGAGAAATCATGTAGGTATACCTTGCCAATACGAGCGCATGGTTCAGCACTGACGCTGTCATAATTGCTAAGTACGATACTACTACTGTAAGAGCACTCGTAACTGTACTCATAGTAGCAGTGGTAACTGTAATCTGTACACGTACTGTCTCAATCGCCCAACAGTTAGGGCGCAACGTCTTCTGTCTTTACCAGAGTTTAGAGGTGATAGGTGCTAGGTGTATAATCCATATATGATATATGTACCTGTACCTGTACCACTAGTAGCCGATATATGTACAGCTTCAACTCCAGCTCCCCTTCACTCGTAGAAAATGCAATTGAACAAAAGAACAAAAAGAACAAAAAGGAGATCTGCCTTGTTCGCTTTGATAGTATTACTTATCCACAGTAAATATGCTGCTAGTAAAGATTCCAAGTAACAAGGGCGGCTACTTCTGGTCCTGGTCTTCCTCCTCCTGCAGTCCCGGTGGCTGCGCTGTGCCTTTCTCAAACTATTATCTTCTTCCCCCCAGCGCCTAGCTTGCTTCAATCAATCAATCTCGATTCATTCCATTCCCCCGCTGTCTTTCTTTCTAATCTGTGTTCTTGTCTTACCAGTCCTCTTTCAAACACGTGGCCAGAAAACAAAAGAAAAGAGAAGAAAAAAAAAGGAAAACAGTGACATCCCCCCCCCCCCCCCTTGATCCTTGGTATTAATAGTCCCCGGATCATCATCATCTGGCCAATGGACCTGTCATTTATTACAGTACCTACTCGTACAGAAGCTAACAGACCCATGGGACATGCCCATGAGACACGTACTTCTATGAATAGAATCATCCAAGGATGGGGAGGGGTCCAACTGCCAAATTACGTGTACTCGTTACCTGTAATATTAATACTCAAGAGTCTCCCAAGAGTCAAGACCCTCCGCACAAGCCGATCCACTCTGTCAATTGGACACCATGTTCACAAGCGCCTATTTTCCGCTTCTTTTGTCTTGTGCATGGTAAATTATTATGGAAGGATTCGGATCGGCGACGACTTATAGATGTATCCCCATCCTCCCTCGTTTGACTACTACTATAAGAATAATACCAGGTAACATTACTACCAGCATCAATTCGGCATCCAATGACCCCAAAATATTATGTACTCTGACCCGAACCTGTCTGCCCGGCTACAGGGTAGATAATATCGTCTTCAATCAGGATTCAGGGCAAGTACTCATTCTCATACAGACCAGGGAAAGGATCTGAGTGTTGGTTGGTTGACGAGTCCGAGTTTCCAAGTGCACTGTGTACCACTTACTAAGACTGGTATAATCCAAACACGATCTTATCATTCCTCGTGTACAGATCTGTACGAGTATTCCCACTCGGTACTAATATGCCATGGCTGGCTATCTATGTGTAATAACGCACACAGGCAAAACGGTGTAGATCAAAGTTGTTCTGCGGGGTCAAATTTAGGCGCGTTATCAGCATCCAACCGGAGAGTTTATATTACCTACGCGCATCATTTTCCACCTTGAATCATCACCACCAATTCGTTCCCCTCTCTCTTTTTCAATGTCCTTTACATGATCGTGCCTGCGAAGTGTGTACCATCCACAAACTAAAGACAGAAAAAAGGAAGAATAAGGGAAGAAAAAGAAAACCGGGAAGAGAAAATGCTCATAACGTCTCCCCTCTTCCTCGCGGTAACCGCCTTACTAGCCGTGACCATTTTCCTGGTCCGTCGCCTGTCGTCGCCGCTATGGAAGCTCCCCGGCCCGACAATCTCGAGGTTCACATCCCTCGAGCTGCGATGGAACGAGATCAAGGCCAACCGCACAATGTACATCCACAGCCTCCACCTTCGCTTCGGACCCGTGGTGCGCGTCAGCCCCCACGAGGTGTCCTTTACCTCCTGGCCTGCCCTCAAGGAGATCTACACGTCTGGCGGGAGCGGCTACGACAAGTCGGAGTTTTACAACCTATTTACCGTGTTTGGGAGGAGGTACAGTTACACATCTTCCTGAACCCCTCGGTTTATCCATCCGCCTCGGTGAGATGACGTATACGTTGCTAACATGTTGTTGCAGAACCATGTTCTCTACGCTTGTCAAGGCAGACGTATGATATTACCATTCCTCCCCCCTGAAGGGAAAGAGGGATGATGTTAGAAATGTCATATTCTTTCAACAAAGCCAACTGACGCACATGCAGCATACAAAGAGAAAGAGACTCCTCGCTGATCGATATGCCAACACCAACATTATGCGTGGACCTGCCATTGCCGGAATCCAGGAACGATCTAGCATCTTCCTTCATCGTTGCACGAGCGCAGGCACCAGGGCTCATGATGTTTTTGTAAGTACCGTGCATGCCGTATACAGAGAAAAGCAATGACTGACATACAGGCAATTGATAGACGGGTCGGTTATTCAACATGGGCGTGTGTGTGTGTGTGATGCCCCGGACTGACTCTGTATAGCCCTGCACGCATATGCCTGCGACTGCGTGACGCACCACCTCTTCCACCCGCGCGGCACGAACTGTCTTCAGAACGCCAAGGACGAGGAAATGATGAACCAGGTGACGGGTGACGACAGCCTCCAGAGTATGTCATCATCACCACCATCCATATGTTTCGCGTCACCTTTTGCCTTCACCATCACAGGGAACCAGCTGACGGAACCACCTGCCAGACCGCCTCATCTCGTACTACTCGCCAAGGCTGTACAACCTCGTCTCGGGCATCATCTACCTTTTCGCCAAATCTCGCGACATCTCCCTGGCAAGCACCTACGTGACGCAGACGAGCCAGGCGACCGACCCAGCGACCTTTACCCTCATGGGGCGTCTGATGGGCGAGAAGGGCGGCAGCTTAGACAGCACGACAGCGGCGGCCGAGTGTCTGGACCACATGGTTGCCGGCATCGACACGACGGGCGACGGGCTGTGCTTCCTCATGTGGGAGCTCTCGCAGCCGCGCAACGCCAGCATCCAGCGCAGGCTGTGCGAGGAGCTCCGCACCGCCCCGTCCGACGTGCCGCTCGACCAGCTCCCCTTCCTCGATGCGGTCGTCAACGAGGGTCTCCGGTGCTTCCCCCCAATCCCCATGTCGCTGCCGCGTGTGGTCCCCGGTCCCGGCGGCCGCGCCATCGACGGCCTCTGGCTGCCCCAGGGCACTGTCGTCAGCTGCCAGTCTTACTCTGTCCACCGTCTCAACCAGGATGCCTTTCCCGAGCCGCAGAGGTTCAACCCTGACCGATGGTTGGCTGCTGATGGGGACACGGAGAGGCGTCGCCTCATGTTTTCCTTTTCCAACGGTGGTAGAGGATGTGTTGGGAAGCAGTGAGTTTTTTTCTTGTGCCTGTTCCTTGCTTTCCAGTGCAGATGACAAGGGATATGCAGATGAAAACAAGAAGGTATCAATATTGACAAAAGAATGCAGCCTCGCTCTCGCCGAAATGAAGACGTTGCTGTCCGACGTCTACTCTAGCTATTCGACTACGCCGCACGTGTCCATGACTGAGGACGACATGATCATGTCGGACCAGCTCATCTCGTCACAGCCAAAGGGTCGACGATGCCTGCTGCACTTTAACAAGCTTGACCCACTGCAAGCCACGGCATAAACGAGAGGAGGTTGGGGGGAGGGTGTGGAACGGAATGCGTACGAGTTATGGTCTTGCATGTCACCGTTGAGATGTGTCGAAGAGTCCCTGCAGATGCTTGGACCAATCAGATAGGACCATACGACTCAGCCAGGGCAGTAGGCAGGAGCGCAGGTGGTATCTGCCTTGTTTGTCTTGTAATACGTCAACCAATCACGATGGACGGGGTTTCTATGCGGAACCGCTAGATTCATAATCATCAGCAGAGTCCTCAACGGCATCATCGTCACTGTTAGTCATGTACCGAGTATTACATATTATAATGTTCATACCACAAGCGTGTAGCATTTGTTGGCATCATTGGTACTATTATAATTATTATTACCACCACTACTATTTGGCACTAACCTACGAGCAGGAGTAATACTACGGAAAGAAATAATACATTTTTTCATCAACTGCTACCCCCCCCTATCAGCTGATTTCCCCCGCCTTGGCCTCTCGGGTGGGCTAGCTATGCTGGCTGCTGGGCTGGTCGGGTGCCCACTGTGATGAGGACGCACCGAGTGTCTACAATTGCGAGACAAGCTGCTGCCCCGTTCAAGGAGATTGATTTGCTGGGAGTTACGAGCAGGGAGAGGTTCCATGCCGAGGGAGAACAGGGAACAACCCAAACCACCGACTCTGTTTTCCTGAGGCCTGACAGACAAGACGGCTGATGCCCAGCCAACCTCTGACTTAACCTCAGGCTACCAGGCCCCCAAGGCTTCAAGGCTTCAAGGTTTCAAGGCTCCAGGCTCCGGGCGGCTGCAACGGAGTTACAGGCGAGTAATGGGTAATATTAGTGCGCGCTGTGCCTGGAGGGAAGGAAGGGGGGGGGGGCGTCTCTCTCTCTCTCACTAACAAGTTCCGACCCATCTTAGGTTTTTTTTCTTTCCTTTCCCCGGTCCCCTCCCTCCTCCACCTTTTTCCCTCTCCCGCTCACAGGACAAGTTAAAATTTTTTCAAAAAAACTCTGCGCTTCTCTTCTTCCCCTTCTTTCTCTTTTGCTTCTCAGTGACCTGGTCTCCTTGTCAGCCTGATTATAAGATCAAACCCAACGCTTTATCTTTTCAAACTCCAGCCTGCTGGCTCTGACTTTTGTTTATTGTCAGTCGCAGCGCTCTCTCGACTTTTCGATTCACAGCTGCCCCTCGCACCATCTCCCGAGTTCGAGTCCAACGACATCACCAGCTACGCCTTCGCTTTGCTTTTTTCATAAAGAGCAACGAAAGCACCCGCAACCCGCCCTCCCCAAAAAACATCGAGTTACATTGCTGTATATGTATCAGCACGATAACGTCACCGTGTCCAGACACTTCAAGCTGCAGCTTTTTCGCTTACCGCGGAAACCTTCGAGTCCCGACATCTGTAAAGACGGTTGAACATATTTGACACCTTCGAGTTCATGTCGCCCTATTCCATCAGCCATAATCACCGGCTAGTCCTTATGTCAATCAGAAATCATCCTGAGTTCTGATACCTCCTGTGCTCCGGCCCCCCTGCATCCCATTCACCAAAATTCAAGCAAACCCATTCAAAAGAACCAAAAAAAACCAAACGGCCTTTTCCTGCTGTTCTCTCCATGACGATTCTGTTACTGTAGAGTCTTTCGTCGTCCCACTCTCAGCTTCCTGCCTCGTCCTATAACGCACAAGACAAATTTTTTCCCCAGCAAATACCGCCAAAATGTCTCTCATCAACGTCCGCCGCGATGTCAGCGATGTCTTCTACCGCTACAAGATGGAGCGTCTGCAGACCAAGATTGAAGGCAAGGGCAACGGTATCAAGACGGTTGTCGTAAACCTGTCCAGCGTTGCCCAGTCCCTGGCCCGCCCCGGCGCCCACGTCATCAAGTACTTTGGCTTCGAGCTGGGTGCCCAGACCAACATCGACCCCAAGGACGACCGTTGGATCATCAACGGCGCCCACGACTCGGCCAAGCTGCAGGACTACCTCGACGGGTTCATCAACAAGTTTGTCCTCTGTAAGAAGTGCAAGAATCCTGAGACGGACGTTGTCATCAAGGACGACCGTATCCTCCTCGACTGCAAGGCCTGCGGCCAGCGTACCGACGTCGACATCCGCCTCAAGCTGAGCGGCTTCATCCTCAAGAACCAGCCCAAGAAGGGCAAGAAGGACAAGGCCGAGCGCAAGGCCGCCCGCAAGGCCAAGCAGAACGGCACGGCCAAGGAGAACGGCCAGGGCAGCGGCGGCGAGGACGGCTCGGAGAACGGGTCCAACGGCGACGCCAACGGCAACGGCGGCGACGCGGCCGCCGACGGCGACAGCGACACCGAGTTCCAGAGGATGCAGGCCGAGGCGCCGGCCGTCAGCGTGACGGCCGAGGTCAAGGACCACGAGTGGGCTGTCGACGTCAGCGAGGAGGCCGTCAAGGCGCGCCAGGCTCAGCTCCCCGGCGAGTTCAAGCAGAAGCTTAGCATGGGCGGCGGCGATGACGACGACGAGGAGGGAGGCGGTAACACGATCTACGACGAGCTCGGCGACTGGATCATGCAGCAGTCGGAGGAGAAGGGCTCGATCGACAAAGTCGAGTCTTTCGATATCTTCGTCAAGGCCAAGCAGCTGGGCATCGAGGCCAAGCACCGCACCGTGCTGGTGCTGGTGCAGACTGTCTTTGACAAGAACATTGTCGCCCAGATCCCCAAGCGCGCCAGCATGCTCAAGCAGATCATCACATCGGAGCGCCACGAGAGGTCCCTTCTCGGCGGCACCGAGCGCCTCCTTGGCCAGCTCGCCGCCGGCGAGGTCGGCACCGATGCCTACGCTCAGGTCGTCAAGATCCTCCAGCTGTACTACCACCACGACCTCATCAGCGAGGAGGTGGCACTCAAGTGGGGTAGCAAGGCTAGCAAGAAGTACACGGACATTTCCGTCTCCAAGAAGGTCCGCAAGGCTGCCGCCCCCTTCCTCACCTGGCTAGAGGAGGCCGACTCGGAGGAGGAATCTGAGGAGGAGTCTGAAGAGGAGGACGACGAGTAAAGGGCGCTCTTTATCAGTCCTCCGACCGTGACCGCGATTTTTTTTTTTTTTTTGGCTGTGTTTCTAACCCTGTTCGTTCCTTTGGAATTGGAACACGCCCTCTGTTCTATTCCACTCTGATGTTGTGCATTGGTTAGGTTAGGATTCTATGCACAAGATAAAACAAAAATTGATACACTGTCCTATGCAACTTTCACTTTGAACGCTTCCCCTCCCTAACACCCATGGACAATGAATGCCCTGAACTTTGGGAATAAAATGAGTTGCTGCAAATGGTAGACAGATGGTATTACAAACACAATACTTCATTTGATGTAAAAGAAAATCATGACTCCGCTCCACCATCCACCTCCATATCCTGCTGCCGCTGCTCACCATTCGTAGCCTTTTCTTCTTCTGCTCGCTCTTCTTCTCCTGCCTCCTCGACATGTTGGTTTTCTATCGTGTCCTCGACCTCATTCTCCGTTTCTTCAGCAGCCTTTCCGTCACCACCACTCTTTCTCTCAAAAATGTACTCCCCAACAGTCTTGCTTGCTTCAGCCACATCGTCACCGAGGTTGACGACGTGGTTGAAACCTTCTGGCGGTGAATAGCCTGTTGAGTCGGCTGTGTCGGAAGGCTGGATGAGGATGTACCTGGCTGTAAAGTCCATGTCTTGAGCGAATTTGGCGGCCTGGTTTTATATGTTAGTTTTTCTTATCCTTTTCTTCTCTTCTCCTCTTCTTCTTTTCCTTTTTTTTCCCTTTCTATTTTTCTATTTTCCTCCCCTCCCTGATCTTTCATTAATGGGGAGGAGAGAGAGAGCAGTTGGAAAGGGACTGCTCTCTCCCCTCGTTTATGAGGATCACGATGCTGAAAGGAAAGAAAAAAAAAAGTACACACCTCAATAGACATCTCAATAATAGCCACTTTACCCGCCTCGGTGACAGCATCGACAGCCTTGGAACTAGTCCCGTATGACACGCCGTCGGCATCCTCGGTGTATTCCACCAGACGGTCTCCGTCACGTAGCTGGTTAAACTCGGGCTTCTTGACAAAGTGGTACGTCCTACCGCTGGTCTCGCCCTCTGCGGGATCGCGTGTCGTGTGGCGGACGACGCGGGCAAAGACACCCCTGTGCGACTCCTGGAGATGGCTTATCAGACTGGACACCTTGTCCGCTGCTGCTGCTGTTGCAGAAGCTGCAAGAACGACAGTCTCGCGGTTTGTGGGCATCTTGTCGTCGTCTGCCACTTGTTCCGCATCATCGTTGGCGGCAGTGTCATCCACGTCTACTAGCGGTTTGAAGATGGCGCTGACGTCGTTGGCGTCGTCGTCAATCTTGTCGAAGGCGGCTAGCTTGAAACCGCGGGCTATGCGCACGGCGCGCCACGTCTTGCTGGCTTTCAGAGCGGCGGCGCGGGCGCGGTCGGCGTCGTTGGTCGCCATGGAGATTTCGAAGTCGTCATCCGATATTTTAACCTTGAACGAGTCCAGCTCCGGAACTTGGTACCGCTTCGGGTCCTTTAGCTCGTCCATGACCTTGGTCCGGTCCTTCTCCTCCAGAAAGTCCATGGGTACGGCGTTGAGGGGGACGGGCCGCAGACGCTTGTTGGTCGTGAACCGCTGCATCGTCGACTGCGACTCGGCCCATAGGCTCGGCTGTACCGGCTCGCGCTGGATGGGTTCACAGCTGGCCATCTTCCAGTACACCCAGTTCTTGTCGCGCGCCAGCACCGTGTCCACCATGCGGTGGAAAATCTTGCCCGGCGTGTCTTTGCGGAGGTAGTCGGCTATCCTGCCCTTGATGGCTAGAGCCCATTTCGCCTATGTGTGTACGTGTCGTGTCAGTCAATGTATACGCGCCATGTTTGAAGGTGGTCATGGTGGGATGCTTACATCCTCCTCGCTAAACTCGCCCGGGTAGATGACGGATTTGTTGGTCACATTGATTTTCTCATACTTCTTCTTGGCTTCGCCCGTCCACGACAAGACAAAGTTGAGCACAATGAGCATCTGCACCAGAACGTGGCGCCGGAACGTGAGATCGCCAATCTGTTTGGGGGAGATGTCAGCTTCTGTGCCTGTTCTGTCATGGTAATGGAAGGGGAGAACTGACTTCGAGCTCAAACAAGTCTTTGCTTGTCAGGTATTTTGGGTTGAAAGCTTCTGACCGGGCGCCGGCGCCCTCCCTCTTGCGCTTGAGGCTCTGCTTAGGGTCCTCGACTGCGTTGGCGGTCCGCGACCCTTCGTCCGATGGGTATTGCCTGAACTTCTTAACCGTCTCTTCCACGCCATGCTGGAATTTCTTGAACACGTTCTTCTCAAAGAGGGTGAGGGGCTGGCTAAAGGACTCCTGTAGGGACCAGAACAGGTCGTATAGCTGGTCCGACGATAATGGCTCATCCGCCTTACCGGCTTTGCCATCCGTGGGCGCCTCTTTACTATTCTTACTGTCTATATCCATGTCCATCTTATCGGAGGATTCCTGCTCCTCCGAGGGCTTCTCGTACGTCGTGACATTCTCGACGTGGTACTCGCCGCGGAGGTTGACGGAACTCCGGTCACCGAGGGGGAAACTCTGGAACAGAAAGATGAAGACTCGACCGCAAAAGGCCGTGTCTTCTGCCCGGGAGAGGCGACGTAGGAGCTCGTTGCAACTGCGCAGAATGACGAGGTCCGTCGACTTTGTGTGTTTGGCCGTGATTCGCTCGCGACGCGATTCGAGATAGTCGAATATCGTGCGGCAGCCGGGGATGACTTGACTCTCGAGAAGCTCTTCAATCAGCCAGAAGAGCAGGGCCGGCTCGCAGTGGCCGTCGTCAGCGATTAGGTAGATGATGTCGAGAAAATCCCACAGGACGGCGAACTCGGGGCTATCGATAGGAGTTGAAGCCTAGGAGAGATGATTTAGTTCAAACGAAAAAAGAAAGTTCTCTGGAAATAAATGGTGCGGGCTGTCGCATACTGTCAAGTTACTGAAAATATCTCGTGTGACAGCCTCGATGAGTGCAAACTTGCGCGCCTTGATCTGCGTCTTTGCCGCCTCGTCTTCCTCAGTCCCCTCGGGTACCATGTCACTCGTCGCATTTGCGACACGGTCCGACAGGCCATCGAAGTCCTGCTTGTTAAGGGGAGGTTCGAGGCTCGACGACGGGTCACTCTCGGGGACAATGGGTTTGATGACCGCCGCCTCAGCCATCAGTTCCTTCAGAAGGGAGGCAAACTTCTCGGCGGCGGGGATCCCGAGGTCATTGACATGGAGTGCATGCATCGTGAGGGTGGCAGATACTCCGGGGGAGGGAGAGCTGAGGATTGGCTGCTGCGCACGCAAGTCGATGCCTCTGTTTACCAACCGAAACGCATGCGAGGGATTGTGCCGAAGAGAGAATTGGCCGTTGAGGGTATATCAGGCATTAATAGATGGTGATGTTGATTGGGAGGATGAGGAGGAACATTGAACGGAGAAGACAAAGGAGTGAGTAGTTGACAAACAACGAAGTTCGAGGCTGAGTGAAAGAAAGAGTATCTTATACAAAAGAGTACCGTGTAAAGTTGAGGTTATTTAACGTACCATGTACTTGTAGAGACCTTGACGGTTGGGTGTTTGCCTTCTGCAAGGCTGAAATTTTTGAGCCAGCGGAGGGAAGGTGCTACTGGGACCTCGTCAGTCAGCGCCTGCCGTTCGCGCATTTGTTGCCTGCTGCCTTCATTCTCCAGCCTCTGAGTCTTCGAACCTTTGAACCAAGCAACCACCAACGCCGACTATATACCACCAATTCTGCCCCATCAATAGCCCGACAATTTGCCGTGGACGATCCTGTACTGACCCTCCGTGGTGTCAATGACGCGATCGCTCACTAGCCATGCCTAACACGAAGCGGCTCAAGGGCAATCGAGCCACCAAGGGCCGGAAGGAACAGCAGCAGCAGCAGCAGCAGCAGCAGCAGTCGCCATCCGAAGCGCCGCCGCCTATGTCTGACGACTCTAAAGAGCGTCCGACGCCTGCAGAGGTTGAAGAGGAAGAGCACGCCTTTGTGAATTTGGCACGCAAGACTTGGTTGAAGCCTGGAAAGAAGGCCGCCAAGCCAAAGGTCAAGAATGAGGTTCTGAAGCAAGGCATCTGGGATATCCTCGACCGCGAGGGCTTCCGGTACGGGTCGCTGCGACTCCTCGAGAGCCTTCAAACACTGGAGAGGTATGTATTCACGGGTACTGACACGGGGCTTCGTGTTGCTAACCTGCGCCGTATCTAGCTATCTGTGGCCTGGCTACACGGAAGACGCCTCCAACTACCATGTTCTCCTCCTAGCGCTCATCACCAATGTCAAGAGGAGGGAACAGCTGGAAACGTGGAGTAAGTGGTCACGTATGGTATATCTTGATTGTTCTGTTGTCTAACGCGCCATATAGGTCTATTCGAGGACCGCCCCGCCGACTTCTCGTCCATGTTCCGCCGCGTCGTCTCCATGATGCTCGACCAAAGCCTCTCCACGCTCGTCAAGACGCAGCTGCTCTGCTTCCTCATCCACGCCTTCCAGAGCCTCGACTGCTCCATTGTTCGAAAGGAGTGCGCTCCCCTCGTGTCCATTGGCGTATGGCACAACCTCTCCAGCGACAATGTCCGCGAGAACCAGTTCAACCGGAATGCACACCTGAGAAAGACCTGGAGGGCCGCCCACAAGCGCTACGACGCCGCTGACGAGCCCACCAAGGCCCGGCTTCGTTTTGAGAGGTCTTGGCTGTACACGCTACTTCTTGATTACTTGACCTTGCTATTCGAGGCGAAGGGCAAGCCAGGTTTGTCAACGTTACAAGACACCGCGATGCGAGGCGATGCTGACAGTTTTGTTACAGATGAGACGCTGTACTGCGAACGCTTCACCGAATTCATCTCAGACCTCCAGAGCCAGCTTCCCACCCGACGATATGTCAACACGCTGCTGCATGATCTCCACATTGTCCCAGCTATGAAGCTGTCGCCCATGTACTCCAACGAAGACAATAGCTTGCTTCGAGACCAGCACACTCTTCTGTCCCACTACACGTACTTCGCCATCGACGACCAGACGGGCGCTCAGCTGAGCCGCGCCGAGGCCTACGACAGGCATTATGCCCGTCTTGGGAAGCTGCAGCGCGTCGCTCTCAAGCATTTCAAGGACCAGCTCGTCGTGCTGGCCCTATCAAACTACGGGTCTATCGATAAGAGGGATGAGCTTGCGCCACTCCTCGACCCTCTGAGCGATGACGAGGTTGTGCAACTTCTCTCCCTGCTGGATCTTCGGACCGTTTATCCCGAAAGTGTCAAGCTACCGCTTGATCGCCGCTTCTTTGTCGAAATTATCCTTTCGACGTTCGAGAGGAGGGAGACATTCCAGGAGTCGACCGAGAGTATGGCCCTGGTCCCGACAGAAAAGACGCTGTTTGACAACAGCTTCCGCCTGGCTGACGAGTACGATGGGTCTCACCCGCTTGCTCTGCCTAAGCTGAACCTGCAGTATCTCTCAGTTGGCGATTTCCTTTGGCGATCGCTGATCCTGTACCGACGGGAGGCATTCTATGGTATTCGCAACGATATCGAATCGGCCATAAGGCGTCTCAAGCCGGATGCGCATCGCCCCGGGGAGACGCACTTTGCCGGCTTTTCCAAGATGGCCATGCCCGTATCCAAACTTGCGTGAGTAATCCCATTGTCTAGACGCTGGCTACGACTCTTCACTGACTGTCATGTAGAATCCTCGAGGTTGTCCCCCCCTTGGTTGGTGATGATGTCCCGTCAAGGGTGCGTTCAGAGGTCACTATCGATGTAAGGAGGCTTAGCCCAGGAGTTCGCAAGGAGTGGGATACGTTGCGACCCGACGATGTTGTCTTTCTCTTGGCCATCGTGCCTCCCCCATCGCAGTCAATTCCCAACGGAGATGGCCTTCTCCCTGAGAATGAGCAGCTCGGTGTCCTGTCAGTGAGGACGGCTGTCATCTCTCAAATAACAGATGAGAAGGGTCGTCATGTCCGTGATGGGTCCTCTGGTCTGGATAGCAAGCGACGCATTCAACTTAACCTCGACCCGCGAACATACGTCCGCGACACGGAAGCAACCGCAGCAGGACGCCCTGATGTCTATGGACGGGTCAACATTCTCCTCCGCCGAGGCAGGAGGGAGAACAACTTCAAGCCCGTCCTCGAGTCTATCCGCAGCCTCGTCCTTTCCGAGGTGCCGCTGCCATCGTGGCTGCACGAGGTCTTCCTGGGATACGGAGATCCGGCTGGGGCCCATCACAAGAACCTCCCCAACCGCATCAGGAAGGTTGACTACCGTGACACATTTCTCGACTGGCACCACTTAGTCGAGAGTCTACCCGGAAAGACGGTCGAGCCTGATGACAGTGTCTCTGGTAGCTTCGGCCCCCCGTATGTCCTCGAGACGGTAGACGCGGAGCAGGTGGAAGAGGCACCCGCAGCTGAGAAGAAGCAGTCTAAGAAGCGCCGGCGCGACGCAGAGCCGGCGCTGAAATCCGAGGTCGAGACCTTGAAAGTTTCCACCTACAAGCTACCCAACAGGGGGCCTTACCCGGTGGACGAGCCCCGCCTTAACCAGGTGCGGTTCACCTCTGCCCAGGTCGAAGCTATCATGTCTGGCGCTCAGCCAGGCCTCTCGATCGTGGTAGGTCCTCCGGGAACGGGAAAGACGGATGTTGCGGTCCAGGTCATCAACAACATCTATCACAACTTCCCGGAGCAAAAGACGCTTCTGTTGGCACACAGCAACCAGGCGCTGAACCAGCTCTTTGCAAAGATCGTCGCTCTTGATATTGATGGCCGGCATTTGCTGCGTCTCGGTCACGGAGAGGATGATCTGCTTACCGACGGCAGCTTCAGCAAGTACGGCAGGGTCGAGTCCTTCCTCGAGAACCGTGATCTCTACCTTCAAGAGGTCAGGAAGCTGGCCATCAGCCTAGGGGCCCCGGGTGCTCATGACAACTCAGCCGAGACTGCGGGCTACTTCAACACGGTCTACGTGGAGCCGGCATGGACCAAGTTCCTGCAGATTGCGGCTTCTAACCAGACGAGTGCCGGCGACATAGTACAAGCCTTCCCCTTCCACGCGTACTTTGCCGATGCCCCCCAGCCTCTGTTCCCGCCAGAGGCTGACCGGGTGCAGATCCTCGACATTGCCCACGGTTGCTTCCGCCATGTTTCCAGGATCTTTACGGAGCTCGCAGATGCTTTGCCCTTTGAGCTTCTGCGTCGCGAGCGCGACAAGGCCAATTATCTGCTCACTAACGAAGCCCGCATCGTGGCTATGACGACGACACACGCGGCTATCAGGCGAAGCGAGATTGCTGCTCTAGGCTTTCACTATGACAACATTGTCATGGAGGAGGCCGCTCAAATCACCGAGATTGAGACTTTTATCCCGCTAGCGATGCAGAAGCCGGTCAATGGCGAGCTGAACCTGCAGAGGGTAATGCTGTGCGGTGACCACTTCCAGAACTCGCCCGTGATCCAGAACATGGCCTTCCGCCAGTACGCCAACATGGAGCAGTCCCTCTTCTCGCGCCTGGTGCGCCTGGGCGTGCCGACGGTGATGCTGGACCAGCAAGGTCGTGCCCGCCCGTCGATTGCCAACCTGTACAGGTGGCGCTACCCTAAGCTAGATGACCTGGCCGACGTGCAGAATAAGGATGAGTTCTCCAAGGCCAACGCTGGCTTCCGTTACGAGTTCCAGTTTATCAACGTGCCCGACTACAAGGGTAAGGGCGAGTCGGAGCCGACGCCGCATTTTATCCAGAACCTGGGTGAGGCCGAGTACGCTGTGGCCATTTTCCAGTATATGCGACTTCTGGGGTACCCGGGCAACAGGATCTCTATCCTAGCGACGTACGCCGGCCAGCGAGCCCTGATCCGAGATGTTCTGAACCACCGGTGCGCCAAGAATCCCATCTTTGGCATGCCCAAGATTGTGGCGACGGTGGACAAGTACCAGGGCGAGCAAAACGACTGTAAGTTTCTGATGTTTCTCTCTGTTCTTACCACTGCCCCGAATAAGCAGCTGCTGACGAGTACGAAACACACAGACGTCATTCTGTCTCTCACTCGAACCTCGAGGGTTGGCTACCTACGTGATGTCCGACGCATGACGGTGGCCCTCTCCCGCGCTCGCCTGGGCCTGTACGTGCTCGGCCGCCGCGAGACGTTCGAGGCGTGCCACGAGCTCCGCCCAGCGTTCGATGTCCTGCTCCAGAGGCCGGATAAGCTACTGCTCCTGACAGGCGAGATGTGGCCTTCGCAGAGGGTCCTGGCTAATGAGGAAGGACAGGAGACAGTGGAGGGCGAGGTGACCATGGAGGGCGTGGAGCACCTGGGACAATACGTCTTTGAGATGACCAAGACTAAGGTGGGTCAGATCCAAGCGGAGAAGAACGCGGCGGCGACCGGAGCGGCTCTGGAGCCGACGGAAGTTACGATTGCGGAAGAAGAGGCCGAAGACGATGATGCCGATGCGGATGGGACATATTACGAGGTACAAGGGGAAGGGGAGGCTCAACAGAACAGCGAGGGTCAATAAGAGACTGGTCTCTTTCACGTGTATCTAAAGTAGAACGAAAAGTGAATCATCATTATCTTTGGTTACCAATGACGGTGATGAGGATGTGTGTTTACGCCGTATTAGGCTATCTCGAGTCACAGGTGAAGAGCGGTTGAAGTGTGCATACTAGCCGGTGAATGACGCCGATTCAACCGGAAACGGAGCAGATTCGATCCAAAGCATACGATATAATCATATTGGTGACGCAGAGCATATTGTATTCATCAATTCAACTCCCCCTCCCTTTTTTGGACTCCAACGACGTACCCTTAAAATAAAACAAACAAAAAAACGCCAACCCAAGTATGTCTTTTATATGATTTTCTCTTCCTCTATTCGAATATCAGTAATCAGAACGGCGAAGAGAGAGGGAGAGAGAGAAAAAGGGGGGGGGTGAGAGAGAAAGAAAAAAGCTGACATTCTTTTTATGAACAGTTCTTTTCTTAACTCGTCCATTTGTCAAGGCCATTGACGACGCAAGCCTCCTTGCCCTGCTCACGAGCAACCAGACGACCAATCTTGAAGACGGCAATGTCGGAGCCAGCGAGCTTAGCTGCAGCAGTCAGCTCAGCAGCGACGACATCGGCCTGCGCGGCGTCGACGGCGACGACCATGCCGACACCCGAGTTGAAGGTGCGGACCATCTCGCTCCCGGCAACGTTACCAGCCTTCTTGAGCCAGTTGAAGACGGGGGCAACAGTCCACGAGCCGAAGTCGATAGAGGCGGCCAGACCGTCGGGTAGCATGCGCGGCACGTTCTCCACTAGACCACCGCCAGTGATGTGGGCGAGGCCCTTGATGCGGGGGATGACGGGGAGCAGGGGGCGGACGTAGATTGTCGTGGGGGTGAGGAGGGAGGCGCCCACGGTGGTGGAGGCGTCCCAGGGGGCGGGCGAGTCGTACGAAAGGCCGGCGGCGGCGACGATGCGACGGACCAGCGAGAAGCCGTTGGAGTGGACGCCAGACGAGCCGAGGCCGAGGAGCACGTCGCCGGGGACCATGGCATCCAGGCGGGGCAGCTTAGCGGAGCCGTCGACGGAGCCGACGGCGCAGCCGGCCGCGTCGTAGTCGTCCGCCTGGTACATGCCCGGCATCTCGGCCGTCTCGCCGCCCACCAGGGCGCAACCGGCCTGGCGGCAGCCGTTGGCCACACCCTCGACGAATGAGGAGGCCGTGGCCAGGTCCAGCTTGCTGCAGCCGTAGTAGTCCAGGAACATAAGGGGCGTGGCGCCTTGGACTACCAGGTCGTTGACGTTCATGGCCACCAGGTCGATGCCCACCGTGTCGTGCTTGCCGACGGCGTGAGCGATCATGAGCTTGGTGCCCACGCCGTCGATGGCGCCCACCAGCGTCGGCCCGCCCGGGTAACCGCACTTGGACAGGTCGAGCTCGCCGCCGAAGCCGCCGATCTCGGCGTCGGCGCCGGCGCGCTTGGTGCTCGCCACGGCGGCCTTGATGCGCTGCACAAAGTCGTTGCCGGCCTGGATGTCGACGCCTGCCTGGGCGTACGTCATGCCGCCTGTGCTGCTGGTGGCGGCGGTAGGATCCGTGGACCTGAAGGCTCGGTGAGCAATGTCCTTGCGGTAGAACATTCCTTCAAAGTCAATGACCTTGGCGTCCAGGGCAGCGTAAGCGGCGTCGACGGCGGCGCGAAGGGAGTCGCCGACGGCAGTGACGGCGATGACGCGGCCGCCCGACGTCCTGAGCTGGTCGCCGTCGAGGGTGGTGCCGGCGTGGAAGACGTTACATCCGGGCGGGGGGTCGCGCACGGTCATGAGCGTGCCCTTGGCGTACGAGTTGGGATAGCCGGCGGCGGCGAGGACGATGGTGGCGCTGAACTTGTCGAGTACGCGCAGGTGGCAGTTGTCGAGGTAGCCGTAGGCGCAGGCCAGCATGATCTCGGCCAGGTCGGTGTCGTCGGATAGCAGGGGCAGAACAGTCTGGACCTCGGGGTCGCCGAAGCGGACGTTGTACTCGAGGACCTTGGGCCCGGCGGGGGTGATCATGAGTCCGGTGAAGAGGACGCCGCGGAAGGGCTGCTTCTCCTTGCGCATGCCGGCGATGGTGGGGCCGACAATGTCGCGGTCCACGAGCTCCGTCAGCTCCCGGGTGGCAATGTTGGTGGGCGCGTAGCAGCCCATGCCGCCCGTGTTGGGGCCCTGGTCGCCGTCGTAGATGCGCTTGTGGTCCTGGGCGAACGGCAGCGACCGAATGGTGTAGCCGTCGCAGAAAGTGAGCACGCTCAGCTCGTCGCCCAGCAGGAGCTCCTCAATGACCACCTCGGACCCGGCCTCGGCCCCGAAGGCCTTGTCCACCATGATCTGCCGAAGGCCCTCTCGGGCCTCCTCCTTGTTCTGCGGGATGATGACGCCCTTGCCAGCCGCCAGCCCGGTGGCCTTGATGACCACGTCGTGGTCCACGCCATTCACGTACGCCACTGCCTTGTCGTAGTCAGAGAAGTTCTCGTACGCCGCCGTGGGGATGCCGTATTTCTTCATGAAGTCCTTGGAGTACGTCTTGCTGCCCTCCAGCCGGGCCGCCGCTTTGGACGGACCGAAGCAGGCAATGCCGGCCTCACGGAATGGGCCCTCGACCCCCTCGACCAGGGGCGCCTCGGGCCCTGGCACCACCAGGTTGATGCCCCGCGACTTGGCCAGCGACACCAGCCCAGGAAAGTCGTCGGCCTTGACGGCCGTCACGTTGGTCGTCTTGGGGCAGATGGCCGTGCCTCCATTGCCGGGAACGGCCAAGATGGACGCTACGCGGGGCGACTGGCTCAGCTTCCAGGCCAAGGCGTGCTCGCGGCCACCGTTGCCGATGAGCAGCACTCGCAGATCGGCAGCCATTCTTTCTTCTTCTTTTCCCGAGATTTGGCGGGACGAGGAGTAGTCTCCTTGTCGATAAATACTCCTTGTCGCTGATATGGAAAGGAAGAAAAAAGTGGTGATGGTGGGGGAAAAGCGAGTTCCGACACTGGCTTGTAAGAGCGTCCCTTGACGTGGGGCAATAAGAAAATCTATCGATGAGGGGCAGTTTTTATTGTATTTTTATTTAATAAAATTTTCTATTTAAAAAAAAATATCTTTCCTCTTACTGAAAGCACCCGAGTATCTTCTGACTTAACCTAGAGGTATACATACCTCCCTGTACTTGCGGTTGTGTGGGGGGACTGGGGGATGGGACATTGTGTGTACAGATTACATGTACGTCTTAGAGTACCACCACCCATGTACGGCTAGAAAATCAGCAGATAAAAAACAAAACAAAGAGTCTGGTTTTTATATCATCAGTTATCGAGGACCCGGATCTGATCGAGTCAGATGAACTTGTGCAAGGGGTAGAGGAGGGAATGGTGAAGCCATACCTTTTCACCCCCCTCACATGCGTTGGCCCTTGCAGTCGCAGGGACCTCTTCCTTTTCTTCTTCATCTGCTTTACTCCATGTACGAGACGGAGTAGCAATGGGATTAGAGAGTCAAAGAAGAGAGAGAATAGGAAAGAAGAAAAAAAGAAGGAAAGAAAAAGGGGATCCAGAGTCGTCCCGGAGATGTGGGTGGCGCCAGCAAGCAGGGTCTTGTTTCTCCTAGGGGTAATCTTATTGTGCCACACACCCCCGAAATTGTAATTTGATCAGACACGTAAAGGAGCAAAGGTCCGTGTCGTGTCCGTGTCGCGTCGAGGCGAGAGATACGAGTACCTATACGAGGTTTTTGTTTTCTTTCTTCTCTCCTCTGATGAACAAAAAGAGATTCGCGGTTCGTGCAGCGGTCGTGACTCGGGTGCTGACATTGACGCTGTAGTGTTTTGTCTGGCCACGTGGACTTGGGAGGATGGCAAATGGATGCATTGCGACATCGTTTCTCGTGTGAGTTGATGCTTCTTATGAGTCTGACTTTCTGCAAGTATTGCTGTAATTGTTCCTCGTTCTCGTTATACCGATGCTCTCTGGTTGCTGGGGAGAGACAGAACCCGAGAGCTCGAGAGAGTAACTTATGACCGTAAGGGACGAGGATGAGTCATCCGACTCAGAGTAATGAAAAGAATGGATAGTTTCATGATTTCGTTCTCCATGCAGTTAAGCGTACATCAATCAGGTACTGCACCGTGCGTGGTAGTGGAACGCTACACCAGATACGGAGTATTGTTATTACATGTATTATTGATGCAGTGCTGGCTCATCCCTTCTTTCCTTTTTTGCCTGTTGCCTGTTATTATCTTTCCGTTTTTTTCAGTATGATTGTCAGTCTTATTGTTGCTCAAACGTTTAATGCTATGCTATGCTCTCCGTATCGTGATAGTTGCTACTATTACTAATATAGCCAGTATTGGAGTGTGTGAGATACGAGTACAAAGAGAGCGAAAAAAAAAAATACTGATGTATGACTACATTAGGCACAATCACATTCACCAATCAGGCTCAGGGTGCAGTGCTTTGCAAACCCTAGAAAAGTTGCACCGAACTTCACATGAGAGATATACATAGCAAAACCCCGAAAAACCCCATAGAGGCGTTTGTGTGTGAGTGGGAAAGAAAAGGAGGAAAAAAAAAAGACCAACAGGAATCCGCGTTGCTGGGGACAAACAGTGTGTGTGCGTGTGTGTGTGTGTGGCAGAAACAAGTAACTCCTCATTGGAGACGAGTAGGGCAGCAAAACCAAGCACAGGAAGCACGGGCTGCACAGGACAGTACGTGTACAGTACAGTGCTACAGGTAGCGGAATACAGTACACTACTCGTATAGGGCAGGCAATAAGGAGCAAAAACCCGTAGACACTACTCCGTACCCGTGGCAAACAAAACGCAGAACGTCAGATAAGAATACAGGTAGTATTACTCCACTGTACCTGTACATACCAGTATCATTAGCACCGACATGACAAACACACGGTAATAATACTCGTACACTAAGCTCTCGTAGTAAAGGGAAAGAATGGTACACAGTGCGGATAAGTATCAAGAATATACTGACACTTAGTGCGGCAGGTGCGTTCAGTGGAAGGGAACGCTCCAGTGTGCCCAAATTCATGACTCTCAGCCACACTTCGTTTACTCGGAGCTCGGCGGACACTTCAAGGACAGTATAATTATTCAGTAATAGTAGCACTATACTTGCCTCCTTCCTCCTGAAGCCCCAAAGGTAGCCACTGGGCCACTCGCCCCTTCCCATTCCATCCCATTATCAGTCCCGCCGCCCAATTTTTTTTATTTTTACAAAGCGCCCACTTTCACATCTTCACCAACTCAAGGAACCTCGCTGGTCCGGTGGAAGATTTTACTCAACCGGCCTTCCTTATTTACCCTCCCCCTCTCCTCCACTCAGTAGTGGTCTCTTTCCCTTTCTCTGTGTATTTTATACGATAATAATACCAGAAAAGGAGTCTCTTCTTGTGAAACCTCCACTCCCCCCCGAGGTTTTCTTTGATTCCCCGACCCCCCACGCGGACCGTCATCGTAAGATTGTCAGCTTTAAATCTGCACCGTCAAACCCTGACGACAGATTTTTCTTTCTGGCCGTTTACGATCGCCTCTTCTTTCCGGCTCCCTTCATCCAACCGATCCGGAACTCCTTTGAAAGGTAGCTTTCTGGCCCTTTTTTCTTATTTCCACCCGTGGAAACTCGATAGTGCGCGCGCATCCTTTGCCCTTGCGACTATCCTTTAATTTTTTTTTCTTCTTTTCGGTAGCAGCGAAACCCCCTTTGCTACCGCAAACGCAAACCCGAGCGTCGATACACTGTTGAGGCCCTTTCCCCCTCGACCGCTCTTGTCTCCATCAACAGACAGCTTTCCACTCCTCCTTTTCAAGCCTTATGACGTCGCCTGCGAACCAGCAGAACCCGGCGACAAACACCACCGCGACCACGGCTTCGTCTTATGCTTCCGCTGCGGGTGCGCCTCAGAAGCCTGCCCAGACTCGGACTCAGCCTACTGTAGCTGCGTCTGGATCTCAGACCTCGGTCACCACCTCCTCGGCCTCGCCCGCGCAGAATGCTAAGCAGGCCTCTTCGTCTCCCGTAAACGGCAAGCCTGCTGTTTCTCCCGCTATCCCCGCCGTCGCTCGCGGAAGCGCTGTTCCCAACGGCGCCCACACTCGTCAAAGCTCCGTCACCATGGCTGCCAACGGCCCCAACAGCTACGCTGCCAACGGTGGCCCAGCTGCTCCTGCCGTCAAGCCCGGTATCCAGTTCGGCTTCGGTTCTCCCGTCCCTGGCCACAGCTCGCCTCAGACCGGCAGCGCGGCCCCCATTCCCATCCCCGGCGGTGGCAACCCTCGTATCAGCTCTCCCGCCCACTCGCCTTCGCCGATCCCCCAGCCTTCGGCTAGCGGTGGCCGTCCCCCTTCTAGCCTCCAGCAGCACGGCGGTCAGATGACCTTTGGTAGTCTTGGCAGCGATGGAGATGTAAGCAAAAGCAAACAGACAACAACAAACGCAACCCCTTCCTCGCCCCAAATACGGAACCTCCCTCTCAATCATCAAGATCATCAAGTTTTCTCGGCTTCGACCGAACAATCTTAAACTGACATATTCTCTCCGACGCAGCGCCACATGAGGCAAGGCTCCGTGCCCCCCAACCCGAACGCCATGGGTGCCCAGCAGGGAACCCACTATCGACGCGAGTCCAACAACTCGATCCAGAGCGAGGGCCCCGGTAACCGTGCCAGCTTCGGCCCCCAGGGCGGTCGTGGACGCGGCGGCTTCCACTCCCACGGTAACAACTATAACCATCATCAGATGGGATACCCTCCCAACAACCAGTTCCGCAACGGTCCCGGTCAGGGCCGTGGTATGCCTCCCGCTTTCCAGCCTCAGGGTCCCCGTGGCTTCCCCAACTCGCCCCAGGCTCCCCACCGCAGCCCGGCCATGGTTCCTTCGATGCCGACCACCCCCAACATGCCCGCTGCCACAATGCAGGGCGCCATGCCCATGGCTGGAGCCCCCGCCTACCACTATGGTCCCCCCATGCCGGGACAGCCTCAACAAGTACAGTTCCTCCCACCAACTTTCAACTCGAAGAAATTCCCCTTTAGAAACAACAAGAAGCCAAAGATGAAGCCCAGGCCACTCCGAGATGGAGACGGCGCATCTCGCGACGGCATCTATGCTAGTAACGTGGCGCCGTCTGCTGGGCGCCAGAATCGGCGTTCTGAGCCTGATGACTTCTATAGTGGCCCCAGCATGCAGCAGCAGCAGCCCGCAACGACTTTGGCGACTCGTGGCGACTCGGGGAAGTCTCCAGCTCAGCAGCCACGGGTCCATGACACCGCAACAACTACGGCCACAGCCTCAGCCTCGGCCAGTGCCGAAGGCCAAGCCACGCCGCCTTCTTTCACTTCACATCTTGACATGGCTCCAGGCAACTACGAGAAGCTTTTGCTGACTTTGAAGAACCAGGGCTATGGCTACCCCCCTCCCCAGCCGCAGATTGAGCAGTACGGTCGCCCCTTCCCCTACGGCATGCCCTACATGCAGCAGCCTCAGGCTGGCTCGCCCGGCTACAACCAGGGCTTCGTCCCTCAGTCTTACCACCAATCCAGCCACAGCATGTCGCGGACTCCCTCGCAGCCTGAACGCCCCGCCAGCGCCAACCAGCACGGTCCCCCGGTTGCCGTCGGCTCCACTAACAAACAGCCCGCCGGTGGTGCCACCGTCAAGCCTAGGAAGAACGCTGCCGTCCTCATCAAGACTGAGACCGGTCAGGTCGTCGATACCTCTTCTTTCAAGGTTGCCCCCGCCTCGCCTGCCCCCAGCAGTCAACACGCCAGGACCCCGCCCATCTCGTCGGCCAACCCCACACCGCCCCCTAAGAGCTCTACCCCAGCTCACGGCCGCACCGACAGCCACGCCACTCAAAAGACTGCCAAGGAGATTCAGGACGAGCTCAAGGAGAAGATTAAGCAGGCCACCCAGGCCAAGGAGGCCGCCGCCGCACCCGCGCCGGCTGAGCCCAAGACTGCAGAGGCCAGGCCCAAGGATGCTGATGAGCCTGCCGCCGAGAAGCCCGCCGGGGCCAAGGAGGAGCCCAAGGAGGAGCCCAAGGAGGAGCCCAAGGAGGAGCCCAAGGAGGAGCCCAAGAAGGTTGCTGATCCCTCCAAGGATGATGGCCCGCCTGACGAAGATGAGATGGAGCGTATCATCCGCGAGATGGAGGAGGAGGATGCCAGGCGTGAGGCTCAGGAGGCCGAGCACCGCGCCAAGGCCGATGCCGAGAAGGCTGCCGCAAAGAAGAAGGCCGAGGAAGACCGCAAGCTCAACGCTGCCGATGAGGACCGCAAGCTCCGCGAGATGGAGCGCGAGATGGAGCGCCTCGAAGAGGAGAAGGAGAAGAAGCGTGCCGCCGCCGCCGAGGCCTCTGCCAAGGGTGTGTCCACGACCGACGTCGACTCCAAGTCCGGCAACGTGGACGATGTCGCCGACAAGCTCTCGGGCATGAAAATAGGTGACAAGCCAGCCGATGCCAAGCCCGCCACGACGGCTGAGAAGCGCGGTGCCAAGCCCGCGGCCCTCAACCTCACGCCCCTCAACACCAAACCCATCGAGCCGCCCCAGCCTAGCGCTGCTCTGCAGTCGCTCAAGTCGGCCCGCTTCCTCCAGGTCATGGACCAGGACATCTACCCTGCCGGCATCAAGTCGCCCAACCCGGCGCTCAACGCCGCCGTCGCCAAGAAGGGCAAGACCTTCAAGTACGACTCCAATTTCCTGCTGCAGTTCCGTGGCGTCTTCACCGAGCAGCCCTCGCTCGAGTTCCACCAGCAGGTCAAGTCGCTCATCGGCGACGGTGACGGCGGCCGCTCTGGCTCCCGCGCCCAGACCCCCGGCTCTAGCAGGCAGGGCTCCCGCGGCGCCAGCGGCAGCGGCTTCACCATGGGCGCCTTCAACGCCCCCGTCGGACGTACGCTGCCCCGCGGTACCACCTCGGCGCAGCGCTTCGAGGAGGCTTCCCGTGCTGGAACCAGTCCCCTGCCCGGCTTCCAGAGGCCCGGTGGCTTCCCCCTGCCCACTATGTCGCGCACGCCCTCTATGGGTCCAAACTCGCCTCGCCAGACCAGCCGACCCACGCGCGGTAGCCGCCGCGGCGACCACAACAACGGCGCCAAGGAGGCCCAGGCTGCCAAGACGATGCCTCTCACCGCCGGCATGGACGTCAAGCCCATTGCCATCACGGCCACGGGCTGGAAGCCTTCGAGTGTCGGCCGCGCCGCCGCCGCCGCCAGCACGTCCAAGGATGGCCTCCTCGACCCTGAGATGGTCCAGAGGAAAGTCAAGGCTGCACTCAACAAAATGACGCCCGAGAACTTCGAGCGCATCTCAGACCAGATCCTCACCATCGCCCACCAGTCCAAGGACGAGTCCGACGGTCGCACCCTGCGCCAGGTCATCCAGCTCACATTCGAGAAGGCCACCGACGAGGCCCACTGGGCTTCGATGTACGCCAAGTTCTGCAAGAAGATGTTGGAAACTATGAGCCCAGAGATCCAGGACGAGCGCATCAAGGACAAGAACGGCAACACGGTCAGCGGTGGCAACCTTTTCCGCAAGTACCTCCTCAACCGCTGCCAGGAGGAATTTGAGCGCGGTTGGAGCATCAACCTACCCGAGACGGAGGAGGCTGACAAGAAGCTCGGCGAGGCCGCAATGCTCTCGGACGAGTACTACATTGCCGCCGCCGCCAAGCGTCGTGGTCTCGGTCTTGTGCAGTTCATTGGTGAGCTGTACAAGCTCGGCATGCTGACGGAACGCATCATGATTGAATGTGTCCACAAGCTTGTCGACTACAAGGGTGTCCCTGACGAGGCCGAGATCGAGTCCCTGTCCAAGCTGCTGCGCACCATCGGCCAGAACCTCGACATGTCGGAGAAGGGTCGCCCTATGATGGATGTCTACTTCTCCCGTATCCAACAGATGATGGAACTGCCCGAGCTGCCCAGCCGTCTCAAATTCATGCTCATGGATGTTGTCGACCTTCGCAGGGTCAACTGGAAGTCGAAGGAGACCAACAAGGGCCCCAAGACCCTTGAGGAGGTTCGCGCCGAGGCCGAGGCTGCTGCCGCTGCCAAGGCTCAGGAGAATGCTAAGAGCAACCAGCGTGGCGGAGGTGGTCGCCCCCCCGGCGGCCGCGGTGACGCTCGCAACTTCTCAGCTGGCTACAACCACCAACCCAGCAATCAGGTCGGTATGGATGACCTGCGCCGCCTCAAGGGTTCTGCCAGCCGTTCGTCGAGCGGTAACGTGACACTCGGCCCCACCTCCATGTTCTCATCTCGCAGCAACAGCGGACGTCGGCTTGGACCTGGAGGGTCTCTTGGCCGTTCCGGCGATGACTCTGGTCCTTCGTCGAGGAGCGGTACCCCTATGAACCGGGAGAATTCGTCCCACTCCAACGCCTTTAGGTATGTTTCTCTCCCTCCCTACACCCTTACGTTCAGATCAAGATGCTAACGATGCCATACAGCCTGCTTGCCAACATGGAGACAGAGAACCCTGCCTCGCCCCCGACAACTTCTGCCACACCTGCCGCCAAGGGCGCCGACAAGAAGGATGGTGAATAGACTACATATCCTACACAGAAAAGGACAAAAAAACAGAAGAATACACATTTTCCCTCATTGTTGGAGTCATTGCATTTCGGCAGGCAAAATAGACTTGGCGGGGCGGGGCTTTTGCGTCTTTTTTTCCCCCATCATTTTTTACGCATCGCACGTTTTTACTACTACTTTTTCTAGTCGGTCTATATTCTTTCACTTCTTTTTTTCTCATTGCCTTTCCAAGTCTATTCTTTTGGTTTTTTTCGGTACTCTTTTTGGCTTGCTTGCATTTACACACGCATGTGCTCTTTTCTCACCCGCCCATTCCGTCCCCCTTTCCACCTTGTTTCCATGATGAAAGAGAAGACAGAAACGAAAGGAATGATGGGGGAATGAATGAAAAAAGGAGAAGGGAATTGTTTCAGTTATAAAAGTTGTAACGCACGCGCATTTTTTTCTTCTTCTTTTCTTCTTTTTTTTTTTTTTTGAAAAAGAAAAGGAATTATGATACCTCGGGAGGAAATGAAGAGAGAGAGAAACGGACCCGGGTACGGAGGGGAAAAAATGAACAAACGAGGGGATTTATCAACCCTTGTTTAATGGAAGGAAGTTTGGTTTGTGTTTTTCTGGTTTTTTCCGTCTCTATTCGTTATAATGCTTTTTTTTTTTTGAAACGTCAGTTAAAACAGATTCTTGTTTTTGTTTTTAACAAATCTTTTTCTTCTTTCCCTCTCTTCCCTGATTCACCAATTCCCAAGTGCGTCCCCCCCCCCCTCCTTTGTGTGTTCCCTTTGTAAAAAGAATTGTCGGTGGAGAGCCATCTCGGCTTGGGGGGGG